GGCATGACGAAATTGAAAGACCACAATAGTAATAATAGTGCTGGTATTATCATAACCAGATGTCGTCGATACAGTCATGATATGTGCAAGCTGGGCTCTTCATTTCGAAACGTGTCTAGGTTTCGCAGCTACTAATGTCGCAACGAAATTATGTGCTAATATCTATTGTGAATGTGCTTCAATATACCTGAGGTGTTGTCTTACTGTTGTACTTTGGTGAAGTCTGAATATATGCATATCTTCATTGTATATGCCACCATTGTTGAGCAACAGCGTTAACTTGCCAAGTTATGCTGGTTCTGTTTAGCCTTTATGGACTACTCGCACAGTGTGAACAAGTCTTTAGAACCACTTTTTTATTGTAGCATCCAAGATTCAGTACGGTGGGTCCTGCGGGACCCACCTAGGTTTCTCAAAGGGACCTGTTAAGCGGTACGATAACCAGATGCCACAGTAAACATTTACCAAGGCTGAAATTTGAACCAGCGATAGCTTCAGCTTTGTGGTTACTATAGCAGCCCGCTGGAATGACATGCGTATTACCCACCGAGGCTAGGTCGTTTTTTTCGTAGAATACTGTCATCATCATCTACTTGTGTTTCATTCGGCGCATAGAAGCTGGCCTCTTCTCTGTGATACGGGGCATGCTCACCTTGCCCTAATTTAAAGCTTGGCATATCTCAGCTGATACAAAGAAACTTAAACTGACGACTTGTAAAGTGCTAGCGATGATTTAGGGTACAACAGAAAAATCGTCTGGATAACAAACAGGAATTGGCAAATTTGTTTGTCTAGCGAAACGAAGCTGTGAGTGGTAGGAATACTCCTGCGATGGGCCATGGTACTGTGCTAGAGGCCGGGTTTTGCCAGTGCCGATGACTGCACTTTTAGAAACGTGAATGATGGCACGGATGCATCCGATTACGAAAATACAAATAAGAAAAAAAAAAAAAAAAATATGTATTCTGATAAATTTCCGAGTACGCTGGACCCACTTATTTACCTGTGCCTCGACGCAGTTCCAGTGGGATTTAGTAACATAAATGTGTGTTAAGGTGTGTTTTGAGTCGAAAGATAAACGAAATCTCGACCCCAAAATAAAGCTTTTCGATCGACACACGAGTTAAGCAGAGCCGCACAATTTGTACGCGTCTGTGCGTAGATCGGCTGAAAACAGGACGTTTACTTCATGTCGTGTATTGTAGCAACAGATCTCTCTAAACAATATTTTCGTTCAATAAGTTATCTTTCATCACTGCTAGATGATACAACTCAGCACACGCTGGACTATATCCTTTCCGTCAACGATAATCACATAGGCGTCCTTTGCTCAAAGCTACTCTTATATAATCTCTTTCAGTGGGTGCAGTGTATCCGATTTCATTCAACCGTGGCGAAATTTACGGAAAATAGCTGCCTATAACATAATCCTTCGCTGCACGCAATCTATATCGAGCAAATAAATCTGCTTTTGTTTTAGCCTTAAATGAGAATCGTAATATTCACAATATTGAAAAATTTGAAACGCGTACAAATTTCCAATCAGTGTTTATTCATTCACCTTTGTAGGTAGTAATCAAAGGCTTCATACAAGCCTTTTAAACACAAATCAACAACATAATAGCCCAATATCGGAGAAGGTCTATATAAACATTTCAAAAAACATTGCGCGAAACTGATTATGTGACTGAGATTATGTGACCTTATAGATTGTACTTGGGTAGTCAGTCTATGACGAATTTTCTCGCATTTCAAACACTTACATGTATCGTCTATAGAAATGTATAAAGAAAAAAATATGTAGAAATCAGAGTCCATAATGGAACGTAGATAGGGCAAAGCGAGTGACGACACGCCCGTTTAGCGGGCTCGGTCCTTTCGGTTCGATGTTCCTCATCGCATCCGGAGAAAAGAGCTCCTCACAAATCTACTAGTGGTAATATATTAATGTCATGTTATTGTCCGTGTTGTTGCGACAGTGTTCTTGATTTACGGATCGTTTATTTTAGCTTGACATTAGTTTCATGTCAGGTTTTTAGCACCATGCTGCGACAGAGAACAGCGATCGAAGAGTTGTAACATTTGCGGGACGCGATAGCTAGAGGTCGCATGTGGTAGTCGGGAAACATGGCTGCTTAGAACATATAACTGTCATAGAATGTGAGTAAATGCTCGTTTACGAAACAAAATATTATTGTATACATGCATTATTCGAAATAGTGCTTGCATTTTGGTGCTGATGAATGACAACAATTATGGAATGAATATAGAATATTCTTTATTAGTATTATTATTAAAATAATTAGTTCCATTTTAGTAAGTATATGCCTGTGTATGAACAGTTTTTGTGTAACTAGTCAAGAGATGTCTTGGGTTTTATGTTGAATGTGGCATCCAGCATTGGTTAAATCGTTTGGACTTCAGCATTAAGCGAAGATGTATCTCTGCTCGGTTTCTAACGTATTTTCAAAGTCAGGGTCAACTGTAGAATATGTCTAATGAGGGCAAGTGTATCATACTATGTAACTCGCTTTCGAACCTGGACCATCTCACGTATCTGTAAACTTGGTGGGAAAATACGTTACTGTGGTGCCTTTACAGAAATAGCCTCACGAGCCAAAAATGAATACTGAAGAAGCCTATGTTTTATTTCATCGGTAGCCAACTACTAATTAAACGCTATTGGACAAAAAGTCGCCTGAACGCATCCTCTTAGGCCATAAACTTGTTTGATACAAACTGATTATGTTATCCAGCGAAGCGATTTACGAGAATGAGCGCTCGTTGGCGATCCGTCTCTGCTACAAGACGTTGTACTGAACCTTCTGATAGTAGATGGCTTATCTGGCTAGAACTTCGAAAAAAAAAGCACCAAATCACGAAGAGGATTCCGTGAGCGGCTTGTCACAGAAAGTGACAATAAACGACCAGAGAAGAATGCCATCGATACGTTACGAGGCAGCGGGCTGCATATGGTATTTGCACCCCAAAACGATGATGTTGAAAGATTAGTTGAACGATATGAAAAAGACAGATGAGCAGAGCTGGAATTAATACAATAACATTGTTCCATGTATTTGAAATAGTAAAAATTTTATGATTAATTTCATTTATACGCATTAACTAATGTAGGCTTTGTACTAGAAACAAATTGCCTGTGTTTTACCGGTGCAAATGGTGCAAATATTTTGTATAATAGATATCACTATTTCATGCCATTTTCCATAAATTATCACTATATTTATACGCTATACGCTAATATATATATATATATATATATATACAAACTTATGTGTCAATACCGCATATGTTGTATATATAGTGTAGTTTGTCATGCTCGGGTTAACCCAGTGCTGATGATTTATCCGGTTTTATTTTATTTATCAATCCACAAGACTATAGGTACATTAACATCTTTTAATTAACTTTTCTAAGAAAATGGATTGATATCTCGCGCTTAAAAGCTTCACTTACTGCGATCTCTCGAATGACTTTGTTATGTAAATTTTCAAACGATTCGGTTATTATTTCCGCAGCGCTCTCAAGAACGCTTGTGACAGTTATAGCGAAAATAATGATCAAATTTTAAAAAAATCCAAACGTAGCCCGCTACCGACAGTTCGATAATTTAGTTATTCATGCACGGTTGCGTGTCTTCTGTCGTTTTTAAACTTTGTTTGTGCATCGGCACGTTTTTGCATTTTTAGATTGTTAGTCCAACAAGAATCAATATCGACCGCTGTCTTCAGACGAAGACGGCTTTAACTTGTGGACTGTGAAGTTCGGCGTGATGTCTTTTTGTCACAAAATGTTACCTCAGGAACAAAATAGGCAGAGGTTTTCAGCGACCAGTAAATACAGCCGGACGTCCGATTAGACAAACGAGGTGATTAAAGTTTGCAAATACGTGACCAATGCGGAGCGATTTAATAGTAATATGCCCAGTGCTTGCAGCCGGTTGTTGTTAACTCTAGGTTAGCCAAAAAATTTTGCAGCGAACGAACGAAACGAACTTTTTCTAAACAACTATTTTGCGCATACACAGGCATTCCCCTTTCACTGATTTAGGTAAAGAGACCGGAGATCCCCTTGAAAGGTTTGGTACGATATTGCTTAGCGATAGAGATCACTCGCAAGACCAGTAATTGAATGCCTATGATATGCGAATGCTACTGAACATCCTATTGCCCGATATCTGTGAAAGTTCACAGCTGCACATCATACCAGACGGTCGACACATACCAGCTTCACACGACTCCATTAGGTCAACATCTACCTTTTAGATTCTGAAACCGAAAAAAAACTGACCACATCATCACCTACCCATTTAACGCTACTCGCTCTTTCGAAATCATGCCAAATGTTGAAGACACTGGCCGGCGCTGACCGCCGAAATACGACGTTGCAATAAGCCCTTAGCAGCTGCCGGTGCTGCTCCAGTGCAAGCTAAACTATCTCACGGCTAATGCCGGCACCGCCGTTGAGTAAGGCGGATCGACATCCAACGAAGGCAACGGGGGCAGTGGGTACACGAACCGATCGTGGACGAGGGAGTGATGACAACAGCGATCCACAAAAATTTAAACGTGGCCGAGTGGCCCCCTTTAAAGAAAAACGTTGTCCAATGGACTACTGTGCCTTTTTAGCTGCGGGTAGCTTGGATAGCCGTTACGAAACGCGGACGACAGAGCAGTTCTTGCGAAGGAAGGGTATTCCAATCGTTTCTCTACACATGACGCTGGCTACTCCTACTACAAGACAGCCACAATGCTATTACACGCCAGATGATATAAAATAACATGGTGAGCGGGTAAATCTGGCAGCTTTTTTGAGGAACTGAATGGGGTTGATTGTTTCTTACTCTTTCGGCTTTATTGCTTTATTCCTTTTCTTTTTATCGATAAAAAGGGACAGTCTTTAGAAGTATGTAGTTGTGTTTAAACAGCTGCATCCGTACGCACTGCTGTGCCTGTGTGTGATTATGTGTAGTTGTCCACCTGCGTTAAGGATAGACGCAAAAGACGTGAAGGTCCAAGCAGTGTCGCGTTGCTGGGTTTATCTTAAACGTGCTGCGCACTCGTGCAGAAAAACAATCCTCAGGGAAGAGACGTTCGTCGATACGCCGCTGGCCGCTCACCCAGCGGCGAACCGTTAGCAACCATAGGCTGTCTTTCATCTTGGTCGAATACGCTTGCTCAGTATTTTGTTAGGAGTTCTACCTGGCGGCAGGCGTTTGGTGGAACTATCTCTGCTGTTAGATCGAGCAATTCGTCCAATTTGACTTTGACCAATCGAAGATTAACTGACTGTTATGGCAGTGCCTGAATAAGCTTTCGGGATCAATCGTATTTTCAATATCTTAAGATGATGGGAGCAGGGCTTCCGGATTAACTCCTATTGAATATCTGTATATCTTTATTCCTGTTTCGAGACTGAAACGATTGTATTCTATTATTGAAATGTTCCATTTGCCCGCCTAGGTTTAGACCGAGTAGCTGTACATAGAAGAAAGACTCAGTTGTAAAGAGTGTGATGACGAATCAGTAAGAATATCGAATATGCAATGAAGGTTTTGTCGTGCGCGCTTGTAATAGTTGTGATTCTCACTACCAGGACTGTGGCATGGAAGCCTGATCAGACAGATAGGAGTGAACGGTCACCGAATAATAGTTCTCAGGGAAACGAAAACTATTATGGCAGACATCCCGGTGGTGGATCAGATCTAAAAAATATAAGTCACGAGCTGGACGATGATTCACTTGAAGACGACAGAAGAGGTGTGTCTCGAGATCGGGACCAGGATCGTGGAAATGAGAATCGCCCGTTTGACGAGCAGCGTTCACGCCACGATAACAATCGAAACTCGCAGGAGCTTTCGCCGGTATCGCCGCTAGCTGAGCAAATTGAACGAATCAGTAGTGCCGAAGAGGCCAGCATTGGTAAGTGTTAAACTAAACTGCGTGGCGCTTTTTATTGCTTTTTCATTTCCTGATAATTATCATGATTAAGCATACACTAAAGTATTTAAACATATTTATTAATCTTCTAATTAAGCAAAAGAAATTTTGTAGTGTAGCCAAAATGGTGCAGAGGTGTTTCGTAATGGAATTTCGCAATTAAATAATGATAATAGGTCAAGCAGGAACCTGGGCTGATTATCCAATTCCAGCCGTTCTCCAGGTACCTTTTGCTAAAGATTTGGATTAGAAAAAAAAAAAAAAAAGAAGTTTCAATGTACTGGTTTCTAAGCCAAATATATATTTGTGAGGAAATTGCTACCATACCGCATAAAAAGTGCACAGTACATTGTTCAGGCCTTGCTAAAAGCACGTAAGCAACGAATAATTTTCTCGAAGTAGGAAAAACTGTGACTCGAGTGGCCTCTAATCCTAATAAGTTTTATTTTCACTGTCCATTATTACGAAGTTTTTCGTAAAATTAAGGTTATTTCTTCGACTAGGCTTAATTAAAGGACGATTCTTGCTACTTGATCAAAGGTGAGGTATCTATCTAGAGTCTTCGACAGACGGTATAGAATGCACCAATTCTTCAGCATTGAAAGCGGTGATTTTAAAAATGGTCAGAATTTACAAGTGGTCAGTAACATTTGGCTTATTGTTACGAGAATGATCAAGAAATTATCAAACACGTTATGATCTTTGATATATTTACACCTCATATACGTATACCTCTTCTAATGTAATGAGTCAAATAATTAAGTTAATTTATAAGATGTTTCGGGCGTTACATCCGGTATTGCCTTGATCCATTCTAACATAGGTAACAGTAGGTGATATAACGATACCTTACTGTGCCCTTTGTCATACGATACTACTTTATGGTCATAGAGTAGTTACTTACTTCTACTAGTGGCGAAAAATAAAGTTACTAGTAAAGATGCTTGTAGACGCGTGCTTTGCCTGTTTGAGGCTAGCTATTATGAGTTTACACCGCTACGGATTCACTCATAACTATTAAGCAAAAGCTCTTTCAAGCAGGTATGAATCTAAGTATGATTGACAAACTTTAGTTTGACAACATTATAAAGCAATATATATGCAAGGCTTTTAAAGAACCAATTTTCCAGGCAAATAAGGCATCTTACGATATTTTAATAATCCCATTGATTACAATGAAACCAATCCCATTTGAGCTTATTCAGGTGATTTGTTCTCCTTATTAAATAAGCTAAACTGTCCTAACTAAAACTAAAAATAATAAAGTTGGCCTTGTCCAAACACGCACAAAAACTTTTTTTTGCGAACAAGTTTTCCCAATTGGCACGTTGTAAAAAATTTACACGGCAATTGGGTTTTGCTTACATGTTCCAGAAAAAGAAGAATGAGACTAAAAGATGGGTTTATATACACGCATGATAATTTACCAACAAATAACCGTAGCACAGCCTTTTTTAAATTTTTACGATGCTTACTGAAACCTTTAGAGTAATTCACAACATAAACAACTTGTTACATAGGGATCATTGGAAAGTGGATCATTAGAGGAAGTATACATTAGGAAATTCTTTACATCCAAACACTTTCATAACCAAATGATTTATCGACTATCAATTTTTTTTCTGACATTTAATGGTTCTATTATTCACGCACGTGTTCTCATTCAAAATGTTATGAAAATCCAACTTATAATCCATACATCGATCAGATCATAAATGCAATCTCGCCTTTTTTAACTGCTCTGCTTTCACTCTGTTTAGAACGCGAAGACAGCCGCGAACGTCGGGTGACTCAAAATTTTGCGTCCTCTGAATACACCGACGATACGGAATCGCAGTCAAGGGAGCGTCCAGCAAAAGATTATGGTGGCCATGATACTGACGGCGCTGCCAGAGACAGCTCGCGGGTTGACAGCACCGAGGCTTACAGACTAGCAGGCAAGCGCGATTACGACTACGAGGATAAGCCTCATTCCTATAAAAAACTGCATACGAAAAACAAGCCTCTACAGGCTCGTGGAGCAAAAGAAGGGAATCAGTACGGATACTGGGTACGGAAAGAGGAACAGGCAATCGACCGAAATCGCGATAGTAGAGAACGTCCGGAGAGAAGTGCCGTAAGAAACGACGATACAACCAAAACAGGACCGGTAAATCGTGAGCCTTATAAGTCGCATGATAATCAGCTTAGCTTGAATGGGGATGATTCGTCGAGGCCAGGCACCGGTGACGAAGACAAAAGTAAACGAAATGATGTGGAGGACGTTCTCATGAGATATCGTTCTGATCTGGACAACGAAAAAAATCTTCAACTGGGTGAGGTCGACACTGCGTACGGAGCTAAAAAAACGACGGATCTAAGCGCACGACACCTCAGTGAACTAGAACTAACTCGAGACAAAGGCCGCTGTTCGAAAAAGGAGTCGGCCTATGAACCTAAAGCATATTACAGAGCTACACGTAACGAAAGATACGAACTGGATGAAGAACCCTATGACAGAGGTAACAGAGTAAATGTAAATGGAGAAAACAGGCAGAGAATGCACAAGCTACATAATGCTAATGATTCTCTTAAATACAAACTCTCAAAAAAAAACCAGCAATATCCATATAAAACCGTTCAACAAACACGTTATTATGGTAGATCCAACTTGGTTCCACCGCTTTATCCACCTTTTGGTAGTGACGATCAGCAAGCGAGAAAAATCCCCGAAATAAACCAGGCGCGGTTGGACAGCAGACATCGAATGCATGACTTGTCACCTACACTGCGCCCGACACGTCGTCCTTTATCGAGAGCAGTGAATCGGCGAAATCCCCGAGCTGTTATTTCTGTATACGAATCATTCCTTCCTTATAATAAAAGCTCGCTGCTATTGTTAACCAAAGGACAGCCACTATCGAATGAAAAGCGTGTTACTCAACATGCAGTTCTCCAAGGAACAAGACATCCTCTACAACATGCTGCTCAACGAGCAGCGCAAGCTCCAAGAAAACAATCTGCTAAGGTTCCGGAAAGTGACACGGAAAATGCCCCAAGCAGGTCACAGGAAGAAAATGAACGGCCTCGCAGACCTGTGTATCGGCTCGCGCCTTCACCGGCATATCGGACTTCACGAAGACCTGCCTCACCCTCCCTATCACACCATATATTACACGACTTCAAGAAATTAGACAATCGTTGGTTACCCAAATACCCCCGTCATGGCATAACACGACCCCCACGACCTCAACACAGAAAACTTACAGGTCATGCTGCTCGACTAATAGCAAACCGTCGACGCGATCCAAACAAGCACCATCCATCTGAAAAGGACTTAGAAGTCTTGACATTGACAGCGTCTACAACAACGTCAACTAAACATCCAGTTATTTGCCCCTGGGGATGGCAGGTAAGTTTTTGGCCGCGGTATCTATTGGCGCCATCTTCACACTGCTGATTATCAAACACCTTCAGGTTGGGTCCGTTTCACGCCGTTGGCTAATCAGACTTGAACTGCATCGTTGCAGGGGAACGTGAACCTCACCAGTGACGAACTTCTTCATCGGGTTCCCGGAGAGACTGGCGAGTTTGGAACTCGAGTCGCTAGTTTACAGAGGTTGCCATGGCAGAAAGCGAGAGATAAAGTTGATCGCAATGATACCTGGAAAAAGATACCGAGAGTTTCAACGCTCGAAAGTACATGCCCAGCTGCGAATTCAAGTACGATGCAGCCTGAAACCGGCTTCTCCGAGGGTAGCGCTGTGCATTCATCGGATGCGGGAGTCAAAGCTTTGCGTTTCCCCAACTCCTTTCTTTCTTATGATGGCATTAACGACATTGTGTATCCTCCTATTAAGTACGGTCATTTAAGCACTGCCGTGGCTGGTTCAGCGGCAGTCAGATCAACAAAGGCGGAAAAGGACAGGCTCACGGACACATCTATTCTCGTAGAAGGTACGCGTATGCATTAGTTGCACACAATTACCGTTGTTTCGTAGTATTTCTCCATCGATTAGCTTTTTAGCTATAGTTTGAAATGCACGTATATTGTTTTTTAGTGTTTACCTACGTGTCTGTAGTAGGTGAAGGGTGATACGGTTGGAGTGCCGTATGAATCGGGGTTAAGAATTAGTGGTCTTGGAGAAACGAAACTTCCCATCCCCGGTCCCAAACTCCCCGATCCAAATTAGGTAGACCATGATCTGGCGGTGCTCAGTCGTGTCCAAAATGCATTTCAACAGAAAAAAAGATTTAATTTTGAAGACTGATATTTAAATAGCCATGTCAGCAAGATTTAATCGATCAATTAATAAAATAGCCCAGTAGGAGATCGTGTGAATATACTGCAAAGAAAGAGTGTCTTCTAAACCGTAGTTTATTGGAACGCCAGTAGACTCCATGTGCTATTATATAGTGTACTTGGCTCAGCTAATCAATCGTGAATCAATAATTATTGTCAGTAGCTCCCGGACTGTATCATTTAAAAAGCAAAGATTTCTTCAAGGACTGTAAATGTACGTCCCAGCATACCTCATCCAACTGTATTATATGCTGGGTTAGGAAGGGAACTGATCGTTCGAAGCAATGCTTAAAAGCAGGTATCGGACGTAGAACTCGGAAATCTTTATGTTTCATTTACGCCTAGGCAATTCTTCCTAGTTGACATAATACTGACAAAAAAAATAAATGCCTTTCTTGCCATGCATTGCCAAAATTCGTCTCACGTCGTATGGTGCCAACCGTAGAAGGTCTCAGGTCACCACCCATAGTGCCCAGGACCGCTAAGGAAGAGAACCATGTTGAATTCTCAGAAGACGCCTTCTGGCGAACCTGGAAGCCACCAGCAGACATCGCGACCTATAACGGTAAGACTGGTCTAAACACAGCTGTCACCCAGCAAAAGAATACGAATAATAGTGTGCTTTCTGGACAAGCGTTGCTTTCGGGGCATCCAGCACTAATGCTTCGACACCACCAAAGAGGAAGCACTTTAAGACAACATGGAACTCTAGGACGAAGGGCAATTGCGTGGAATACATATGAAAGCCCTAAGCAGGTGAGCACAAAAGGCATCCTCGAGGGCCAGCAGAGAACTACAGGGCACGGTACAGCTTCAGTTGGTAAGTTGCTTCTGTGCGCAACGCCTTATGCGTCAGAGACACGAGACAAGTGGTTTTGCGTATTCAGTTGCCATTGTTATTGTGTTTGGCAATTTATTAGTCGCTAGATAGGTTTTAGACCTGCTTGATTGTCTGTACCAAATTCACAATATTGTGCTAAGAAATGTATAATGATTATTTAACTAAATATAACGTGGTAGAATCATAAAGATGTTAACGGCTATCGCACATTACGGAAGTATCGTAACTTAACTTAGATGAAAACTGACTATTAATTTCTTCCAGATTAATCAATACAATCAAATAGAGTCACGTAATGCCCGACCTCTATAGAGTGAGATATTTTTAAAACGGAACGTACTGAACAATATGGTACTACAGTATTTAAATAATGCGCAGGCACGTACTTGATCAGCGTAAACATACACGTTCTACTAAGGCATAACGCATGAGAATGCCTAGAAAACCCAATCCGTCAATCATCTTAAAAGGCGTCTGCTTTCAAATGATCATAAAACGTAAAAAGTAAGAAACTCTATTTGATATGCCATTCGCTGTCCTATCGGGACCTAGAAAGCATAACGCCGTTTTAAAAACGATCACTTGTTCTATAAGATTTTACACATATACGATTTTCAAATTAGACGCACTAACCCATTAAGTAAAACCTGCTACTGATCTCTATTTCCCACACAATCAGATTTCAACAACTTAAACTTTGATCTCCACCCTTGTTGTGCCACAGGCTGGTTCCGGTTCAAGCAGACCGATCCAGATTTTTTCGGAATGCCTCACCGACCTTTAAGCACGACGCAAAGGCCTACTACACAAAAAAGCCGAAAAGGCAATTCAGTCCCAGAGGCTGCCAAATCTACGAACGACCGTCCTGAAATGGTAAAAAATAAAAGATTTCCTTCGTCACTATTTCACTCCACGGCATCAGTGAAACCCTACAACAACACACGGTTCAAGCATTTGAGTATTTCGAGAAGGCGTCCCGGATCGTTTGCCGAATGGCATCCACGCAGTAAAGTAAATGCGGACAGACTTCCCGTTCCACTTCAGAATGACACCTTAGCAAAAGCAGCCATTCTGGCCGTGATGCTTCGACCGGGAAAAGATTTTTTGCACAACATACATTCAACGATGATACGCTTAGACGAATCTGCCAGAGCCAGTCAACCTATGATCACTGCAATAGGAATCCAAACTTCTGGCCGAGGTGCGCAACGCTCAGCAGAGGCTGAAATGGCAACAGATGCCGACAAGCTTAGCAATCTTCGTGTGAGGAACGAAAAGCAGGCGCTGACAGACTTTACTAAAATAAGGACAAGGATTCCGGTATTGAAATCTGCACAGGTCATGCAAAAGAAATTCGGAAACCTTCAGGTGCGCAATAGTGACGCTCGATTCGTTTTGACCCTATTGGGATCTATTGGATTGACATCACTGAAGGATTGTATTTCCATATGTAGACCTGCTTCGAGTGTTGAACCCCCATCAATTAATCAGCATCTTCTAATCTAAGTTTCGTATATAAATATTTAATGGCAACTTCGACCGACGCCGTTTACTCGGCGAAGAATACATAGAAAATAGTAATATATTTAAGAGGCGACCAAGTCACGGAAGATTCGAATATGTTCCAGAAGGTCTGATAAGGAATTTATGATAAGGAAATAATTTATGATAAGGTCTGATAAGGAAATTGAAACATGAACCTACGGAGCCGTTCATACGTTTATACATACATTTCTATGTGAATACATACAACAATGAAAGCCTCGATAGAACGTCATGTCTAGTTGCGCATGCTATCTTCCTAGAGGAAAACGCAATAAAATTTTTCGTTTCATTTAATGTGCGTGTTTGCAAAAGGTTTCAGGAGGCCATGATCGTTATGGCCAAAATGGAGAACATCGAGGCCGCAGAAAAAATGATCAAAAGGCCCAAAGCAGGAATGCCGAACCGGACGTAGGACAACTACCAATGGAAAGGAGCAGCAGACATGACGAATTTGAGAAAAATTATGATAAGGTAGTCGTTTCGTTTACCAAATCAAGGATCTTTTCACGGCGCAATCAGGCTTTTACAACATCGTTACTTTTTTTGTTATCAACATTTCACTTTAACTTGACATATATATATATATATATATATAGTTGTGAAACAAGCGAGTCTACAGTGATTTTGAATATAATTTGTACTTATTATGTTTCCTAGTGAAGTTTACCAAAACGAGAACACTTGAATCACTGTTATTATGAATTTGAACGAAGATTGTTGAACAAACGATAGAGTTTTGTACTTAATCACTAAATTCAAGCAAGCAGATGTGTAGGACGTGCTTTATTTTTATCCTCGGTAAACCAGTTTACCTGGGATATTTTCCACAGCAGAATGTATGCGTATCTGGCATCAAGATCATCTACTAGCCAATTATGATGGGGCACTCCAGAGGGTCATGAAAAACAATTTTCTCAGTTCGATAGCCCCATTCGAGGGCGTTTTTAATGCTTACAAAATTAACTGGCAAAACATCTGTAGTTGGCTTCCTGTACATAAGCAGTTAAAATGTCTTGCGAACATGCCATATACGAATAAGCGAAGCATTCACCTGCTGTAAAACACAGACAGGTTAATGAAAAAATATCTTGAAGGATTCGTCATCAGCCTTACTTTATAAAGACAAAGCCTTTGACACGAAAACAGCTTGGTTGACAGTGAAGTAATGCTGTCTTAATACGTCGTATTTCGAAGCGCCAGTTGTTTACAGATTCACAGAGGTAGGCTTCGAGTTCATTAACTGGGTGGCTAGGAAGTTGATGACGCGTAGTCGGAATTACGTAGCAACACATTATACTTCAAATACAAGTGACTATATGTTACTCCGGTTTGAACCTAACTTACAAAAATAGGCTTACCCCAAATTTGTGGCTGTCGTTAACTGACCTTCGGCCTGTAGTACTTGATAGCTTCCGACCTTTGGGGTCATTTTGGACCTTATCACTGCTATTAGGAAAACCGTGAGATGCATGCACTAGGTCTCGTAGCTGGAAGCTACACAAGCTAAAAAGCAGACTTCCATGTTTGCCAGAAATACCTACCGCTCACATAAATTAGTTCTAAACAGCTGAAACGTGTCTTTTTTTCGGCACTACCTTATAGACAAAAAGAAGCATCCTGAGCGATCTTAGCGACATGAACAAGGACCGCCACTACATGCCAAGTGAGTACATCATCAGTGTAAGGTATAAAAATACAACAGATAAAGAAGCTGAAAAAAGGCTTAAAAGTCGAGGTTTCACAGAAACCCATCATCGGCTGGTGGAACGGTTTGAGATCATTCACCAGCATGAGAACAGCGAGGAAGATACTGGCATCGAAGAATCGAACAGTCCCGATCATGCAGCAACTGAGGTGAGAGACAAAATTCTACTTTGCTGAAGTGGTTAGACTTCGTTTATTCTTATGTAGCAGTTCTAGGTAATAGAATGATAAATGAATCATATATTAAATGGCAATACTAGCTTATTTTATTCACACAAGCTGTATGTATCTTTCGGGAGCATTTTAGGCGTTAGGAACTGCAAGACAAAATATACTCGCGGGAGCTATTATTCTCTGCTGAATAGATGATAGTTAATCACCCTGTAATATACTCTATTGAAGACTGTAAAGGTTGGTGGGCTCAGCTTGTGTGGCGACATTTAGTCTTCATCTTAAGCTAGTCCTTCAAACCAGATCAGAATTCTAGCCAAGAGGCCGATATGTATTTATTTATATGTATGTCAGCAAAGTTGTTGGTAACAACAAAACGAGATATCGAGTGAAAATAACAACTTTGCCGCTTCCAATTTCGAAACATTTTTTCATTTGTAAACTGTGCCCGTCTCTGCTTTGTTTACTGCAGCGGTCCAAAACTTCGATGTTGGAATTGCTGCGACTATTATGAGCTGTAAGATCAACCAACGAAACGCACCATTTAAGCACGGTTTCAATTATTACCGACTAGTTCCTTAGTCATACGGAGCAATCGGCCAATTAAGGAAGGTCAACAAACCGCTAAGACGTTAGTAGGAATACTATTGTACTCGGAATAGTTTCAGAACCTGAACAGTCGGCATTTTAGTCCTGGAAATTTTCGCTTTTTTTCCTCTTGTCTAATTAAGCGGCTGTAATGGGATTAGCCTATTTTTTTCCCAGACAAATCTAGCCCTAAAATAGGAAAATGCCCAGAGCGGTCGTCGCGGTAGCTAGCGTTTGCTAGACACAACAGAACGAGTTCGGAAGCCGAATTATATCAAGGAACCGGTTGATTGGTTAGAACATGTTTACGTACTGTGCTTAATATTAGCTAAAACACTCTGATAAGTCTGTGACGATAAGTCAGTTGGGGAAAACATTGCCGCCTGTAGATGTTTGATGTATTCAGCAAGTTAGTAGTATGTTGTTAACACGTACCGGCTTGCGACGCGGTTAACCAGAGGTGTATTGATACTTGCGTTTCCCCTCTGTAATTTCTTTAATTTTAAGTTGAAAAAAATAGGCTACTTTTGTTACCGTATATCCAGCTCATATCTGTGTTATCATCTGCTCTGATTCAAACTATTATAAACTGCATTTCTATTTTTAGTTTACTTTTACTTACACGATAGCTCGTATCGCTTAAGCACTATACAGTAATCGCATTGTGAAAGTCATGGTTTTTCAACTGTATTTCGGTGCTATTCTATATACGTTAAAATGTTTCGAAGTTCTGACCGCCCTACGTTTCAATAGATGTATGTATCTGAACCCGACTGAAAAGCGAGTCATTACCAGCTACAGTCTGACACGATTGATAACGTAAACTATTCAGTTGACATATACCGTCTCTTGACAGATCAGCAGTTTGTTCTTTGCAAAAGCATTATGAAAAGGATATTTATCGCACGGTAGTTGAACATGATTAGCTCCCATCGACGAAGGGAGCTGGGTCGGCAAAAAGTATTGACGCTGAAGAGGTCGAACTAGAGCATAAAAAATATCTATTAGGAATGATTGTTACTAACAATTTAAGCTTTTCTGGTATCAAAGACTCTTGCGGTGCATTGATAGATCTGACACTGGTCAGACCCAGCGCTGAAAATCCCAGAAAAGGTTAATCTTAAAAGGCAAAATTCGTCTTCGACTTTTGACCAAGCTCCGACCAAGCTGCGCCAATAATAATAATCGCATTTGCTCAGTTAGGGTCGTGGTTACAGAAAATTAACTTCGTGATTCCATTGTCTGGCCACTAACTAACCGATAAACCCATAGTGTACTCGTTAATACTTCTGCCGAAATCATAAGCTACCTTTCTAGCAGCTGTATGAATTAAGACGATGCCTTGTGCAAATGGGAATTTTTAGACTCCATTTTGAAAATCTATTAAAAAAACGCGTTAACGGATACGAATAACGGTACTATCGTAGACACTCTTGTTTAATATGCGAAAGGTAGTACCTTTCCTTTAGTTTTACAACCCTTAACAGTTAAGTTACACGAACAGGGACACCGATAGTAACCACAAGGAACTGGTGCTTATATTTTTACATTATTTTCGTTATAGAATACCTTGCCGGCTATCTTCATCGTGCGATAAAGTCCTCAGAATTATCTCTTCGGTATCGAATCAGGCATCCTAAAGGAGCAATCGGCGTGCATCTTGCTGAGTTTATCTGGGTTTTCTCTAATAAGTCTATAAAAGTCGCATGGCAACCATACCAACGAATACCGACTCAGTGTTTGTTTCTTTAGTATTAATCATTTCCGATTGTTATTTTTCAATTAATGGTTGTTGGGTTTAAACCGGTGTTAGCGGCATGCTTTTTTTTTTTTTTTTTTCGTGATTGTGATCAAAGAGAGATACGGATTAGCTACTGAGATCAGGCCGGTTTCGGTAATTTTACGTAGCACGAACTGCAACTACAGAAAAATGACGTTTAAATAGAATTACGTCAAGCAACTTCCGATAGAGATTTGGTTTTGTGATGTCCCTGGTACGACAGAGCTTTCCCATAAAAAAGTTTCATTAAATCCTTGATTCTATTGCTTCATTATAATTGTAAATATCCTGTTGATCGAACTGGATAGAAGCTTATTTCGAAAGTTTTTCGTTGATCTTTGGGCATCCACGATAGGCATACTCATCATCGGTAATCAAGTTATATTTACCTGGGTAATAAATGTTTGAAATTGCACGACCGGTACCGCCTTAGTTGCTTTAGATGGCTCGCAGTTTCCTCCAGTATAAAACGAAGCGTGTACTGACAGCCGGCAGACCATTATACCCTAATTTTAGTGATGTTTAAAGACTGCCTACAGCTTCTCTATTCTCACCTGGTGTTTATGATGCTTATTCGTTTGAATAAAAGCCTGACTTCATAATTATTTACAGTCCCCCGAGTAGAAAAGTGATCAAAGTTTAGGTCCTCAATGTACAAGACTTGAACAGTTACGATCATACAAGAACACCTAAAATGTCGCAAGCATAAACTTTAAAGGGATAGAAAAATCTATTGAGATTCTCCGTTTCTCAACAAACTAATTTTTCTGCATTTTTTCCTCCTGCATCCCTATAGCGTGATAACTTAAAAAGAAAAGGCGGCAATGTCTTTTTTGAAATTTTTATTAGAATCAACTTCTTTCACCAACTTTATAGCAGTCCTTTACTATAACTATTTGTCGTCTCATCTGAATATGTCTAATTTTTAATCTACCGCTGAAACATTTCAGGAAAGCGTAAATGCGCAGGTAAAGACTATGGTCCGAGACAATTTGCGGGCTAACCGAAACGGTGAAGATATCGCAACGAACCAATTGGATAGACCTCCTATCGAGGTACGCACGCTTCTTCATGGCTACAGAAGTATGAAACCCTATGAGCTCGTATACAGGTAAGTTAAATGAAGCAGTCATACGGCTTATCGATTTTCAGGTATCGAGATCGTGCACGAATGGCCATTATATTGCTAATGTACTTTTGAGACAGAGTCAATATATTTGTATAAAGGACTTGTTTACATTAGAAGGCAAGCAAATGTAGGTAGTAACATACGTTCGTTTGCCATGCATGATTCGCAATAGTTGTCGCAGTTTGTGTATTGCTTTTTGAAATACACCATAAAGTACTGAAAACGCTAAATGAAGTTTTCTTGTGATGATAGGTAAGTAGTACTATCGAAGCTAATTATCCAGTATGACAGCAGAGTAGGCTTCTCGTGTTTAATAGATCCAAATCTTGTAGTGGCCTGGACAGAAGCAAATCCATCCGCAGCCTAGAAAAAGGGTTTGCCGTAGTGGCGCCTATACGTAAAAGTCCATATTCTATCTTCATATAAAAAAGGAATCAACGGAAAAAGCGGAGCTCTTCGGGTAACAATCAGGCATACTAGGAGACATTATAGATCACCCGAATTGTTCGAGCGTACAACATTCAGTTGTGCTAGACGAATGCTAAAATGACTTTCTTTTTTCTTGCAGTATTTTGACAAATCGCTTGTTGATAAATGACCTTTACTAATGTGCGTCTGTGAAGGCTTCAGACCTCTTTGGCGTGTGAAGTGGGCCGCCAGGCAAAGGCAAGGCCAAAGAGCGCAGTAGAGATACGGATTAAGCAATTGGGTGACCCGACCCGGTAGCCTTAATATCGGAATTAGCTTTGATCTGTAAATTCTAAAATAATATGCGTTTAAGGCAGCGGCGCAGTCTCAGTGGCTAATTCGTATCTCTTGAGTGCGTAGCATTGGTATATCTAACAAGCGTGCTGCCATATCAGCACAGGCAAAAATCATTACCGGGAAATATTAGTCGAGAAAATAGGTATGAAATTTCGTAAGTCCATTCGAGAAACCCCAAATAAGCCCAATCAAACCTATCCTGGTCGCTGGCCGTTGCGCTCAATTAAAAGGATAGATGAACAGAATTTTTCGTAAATGCGGTTCTAAACATAACTGTAGTAGAATTCGACCCACTTGGTTATTGAATGATAAATAAAAGGATGGATAAATTGTTAAGTGACAAGGTTCCTGGAGAAATGGTTTTGGCCATACGTGTATATATATTTGCAAAACAAATTTTCCAGATGGAATTCCCCACGATTAACTGCAGCGAATAAGCGCACGGCATTTAGAAGACTTTTCCCAAAATCATCATCACACAGATGATCAATGCTTGAGATTTCTGTACATTGGGAAGCGTGGTTTACGTGGCTAATGCGCGTTTCTTTCAGCGCGTCGCCTTAATAAATTAGAAAAAAAACACTGATTATGGGAAACTTTTCTAAATTTTACATACGTGTTTTAATTTTCAGAGGTAACCACTCTGAGAGCGTACATAAAATTCCAAGTGAGGGCTTCCCTGTCAACAGTCGCTTCAAGAACTGGGTTCACCGTAATGTTGAAGTGTGAGCTTCCTTGTTTAATCGGCTCTCCAACATGTATAACGATATCCGAGTCGCAACTAGTGGTTAGTATTGGTAGTATATATATTAGTAGACGGCTTTCAAATGTGAACGAAATACATTTTTCATTAGAAAAGTTCTTCAGTAATTTTACTAGTGTTATTCTCGCAGTGACTGAATAATTCTATGACAACATAACTGCAAAACGTATGGGTGTGTCGTAGCGGAAAACCAAATCTACGCGAAACAGATATTGACGCTTATTTATTCTAGCCCGCCTTCAGTAATTCTTCATGGACAATGCTGATAGAAGCCTAATTCGCTAGTCAATGAAGACTTTCTACGTCGCTTTGAGACGACTGTGGCAGACTGTCAGTTGTATAGCTGCTCAAACAAGTAGATACGTGTTATATAATTTTAAAATAAATGAGTAAACTCTTAGCCAAGCTATAGCTGTCAAGGTCATTATTACGTGCTGCAACATGTACAGCTGAATGCATTTCTTCCGTACTTATTTAGCCTGTAGGTATTTCAAGTTTTACGTCTCGGGCTACTGCCGTTAAGCGTTAGTTCACGCGTATGGCTCCGTTCACCCCTAACATATAACCCTGCCAAATAACGTTCCACTTAAGGCAAACATATGATAGCCCTAATCTTTGTTTATGGGTGTTGAGACGTAACGCCGAGAACCTATCCATGTAAACTTGGCCAGGATTTCTGTGAGCTTTTACGCTAGGGAACACTTAGGCATTCGAAAACTTTAGATGATTAAACTTTGGGTGTTTTTTTCCGCCTAAATTACGTCTATCAGTCTGTGCCTGTGCGCACGCGATTGGGTCTGTGGCCTTTTTCACTTGTCGCCACCCATCGTTACGAACCTTGTCCTAATCGGGAAGATTTGTTCGGCAGGCGGTAAGTTAAGAAGACTCCTTCAAGGTCCTTAGTTCATCTAGCTTTTCGAGGTGCGTGGAATTCTCCGATCCTTCAACCGTTTGTTCAGTTCCCCTGTGTTTATTTGAAATGGGAAAAAATACTTCCCTTTAAAGCGCTAAAAGCGAATACTAAGATAATGGCATTTGGACTGCTGACTTTTTTCAAATATCTATATTGGTTTGTCGAAAAGTATTGGCCATTTTAAGCCAATAGTGAAACGTATTACTTAACAAAATATACACCATTTTGATCGACAACCCTTTACCATTTTTCCGGTAATTCCATAATCTAATCACTTGTGAGATATCTAAGCGTAAAATTGTCACAGGTAATTTTTGTATTTCTCCATTGAGACGAACATCGTTAGAGAGGTTTTGCAGAGACCTGAAGATGATGGCCTGATAGTGCAAGATCCTCCAGACTACGCAACCAATGTATTAAAGTGTCGCATCTATGTTTTCTCAGATTTTATCAGCTAACTCAACATGTGTGTGTCCGCATTTTCAATAGCAGAAAACACTGGTCACGAATTTCTGCTAACGGCTTGAAATCTCTTTAATTGTTAGCGGTAGAAGTCCGAATCAATCGTTAAGATGTAAGGTGGCAGAAAGTCATAATGCACGATCGTTGTTCAATTCAACCAATTACTTAAGCCCAATTCCTTGCGCGTTAAGCTGAGCTGTACCACGTATTATGATACATAATTTATTCGTACATTATATTATAAATTATTCGTACATATCTTCTGTCGTCTGCTTCAGAAATAGTTCGATTTTGTTTCGCATCTGTATACTTCGTAGATAAAAATGTCGCTTCGAGCACTCTAAATGCTCTAGAACCGTTTGGCAAGATCGTCCATAGCCACGTGTCGGTCCTTCTCAACTTTTCAGCAATTTAATTAATTTTCCTTTGTAATTGATCGATCACTGCACGGCAAAGCATCTTTCACATTGACATCTCCATAAACGTAAATGTAAATAAATAGTGAAGTTTGCAAACACTTTACTCTCTGTTTTAGGTCGATGCTCGCACCTCTACTAAATTTAGCCTCTATTGACTCTGTTCTATTCTAATTGACACCAACACTAAGGAAATATATAACTTCTAGCTAGGGAAACTAACTATCAAAACTTTTTTCACAATTCAGTGTAAAGGGTGAGTTTTGTTCTATCGGTACCAGACGAAAATTACTTGACAAACTGAGATTGTATGTTTTTTTACCAAGTTTCTACCTGTTCACTGAATGGAAAAGTGTAGCGAAGCCACTACTTCAAGCGGTATTTACCGGTCCTTCATAGTAAACCGTATAGTGTAAAGACGTCTAGCACCGAAGAATATATTTCTTCGGTTTCAAAGTAAGCTGAAAAACCTAACTGCAAGGTTTGATCGCTTACTCCCAGGTAATACTACATTGATAGATTAATTAGTGCTAAAGATTCTTGACCAGATCGTGGACTCCTAAGGCAGACATTCCACTTTGGTAATGAACTGGTTCCTAGCTAATGCAATGGACTTATTATCTTTGCTGTTAGCTAGCAGGCAGATTGACCGAAGTACCGGTAGGAAATATATTAAAGCAGCAGAGAAAATCAGAAGTCTGAACATGTTGTGTTTAGAAAATAGGCCATTGCCGTAGGTAGGTAGGTAGGTAGGTAGGTAGGCAGGTAGGTAGGCTGGCTGAAAAAACCTGCCTTGACCCAGGATCTCGGTACCTTTGTACGGAAGCAGTTTTAGATGAACTAATGATATGTGGACTATGATACCTGCAGAACCAACTGTAAAATTGAAGTTCAATGTTGCAGCATCTAATGCATCTTTTAAATAAATCTCTCAAATAAATCTTGATTTTTCTTAATCATTTTTTCTGAGCCGACTGTGAAATTAACTACATACTAGTTGTCGTACTCGTAAAAGTCTTTCACTATGTCATATTACCTCTTGAACACTCACTAAGCTACAAATCGCCCTTCGTTTAATAAATTCGATAAATCCTATCTAAGCAAAACCATCCGGCTAACCTTCTCTAATCAGGCTAGTTTTCGACACTTGCACTTGTTTCCATAGAAAAAAAATGGCCGGAAATGAAGAAGAGAGGAAATTATAGATATAAAATTTTACAACTGCAGTTGAAATTTCTAATTTTCAGCAAAGATATACTCGAGGGTCTCAATAGTAGTAGTAGGTAGTGCAACGGTAATTTTTTAAATTTCATGTTGCGTTTTCGCAGCCTCATTAAAATGTACAGGATAGCATGACTTGCTGGTAGATAGCTTGGATTATTGCTAGATCCGCTCGGTCGGTACGTAGCTTGTTAAGCGGGAAAGAAACGCGACCTTCAGCGTTTCTTTCTGCTCCGCTACTACTACGAATTCAATTAAATATTTATCCCAGGGTTGTTCGCAGAATACATATCAAGCTTACAATAAACGTTTGGTCTATGTGGGACTCCCAAGAGTCGGGCTGTAACATTGTTTATGCATGACAAAGTTGCGTTTGGGGCTTGCTCGTCGTGGATCCCGATTCGGACCATCTACAGAATTTTAATCGCATATGAAAAGAGCAATCTGAGTAAATGTGATACACATGTTAGGTAATAATGAAAACAGACATGTCTCGCGTCCGTGAAACGCAGGTGGCTATTTGTTCACGAATGTTTTGAATTTAGTCTTCCCGATGACCGAGATGGCTAAATCTCTAACTGAAGAAGGCAAGGAATTGCTGATTCAAGTCCCGCTAACGTCGTATGTTGTACGACAAATGTAAAAAAAAAAACATTAAAGCTATTCAGAAGCAAGAACTTTACTTACCGAGAGCACCGCCGCCAAACGTCAAGAGTTCCATTCTCCAGATAAAAAAAAGACACTAGCAGCTACTGGAATACAAAGTACAGTGCCGTCTTCACTACAATTAAATCAGTTTGGTTCCGACATCATGAGGGCCGCTGAGGTGCAGAACAACGGCCGGAAGACTGCAAATGATGAATAATAAGGGTAAACAGGTTTATTAATTAACCATCGGAACGCACTTGACAAAACAGGGAGTCGGACGATGGCGGCTGATTAGAATAATTTACGCATGAATCAAAGAAGACCAAAAAATAAAGTCAAAAAGTTCGTTTTTTCTTTTACAGGTTACACAATCTAATTTGCATTCTAGCATGCTTAAATATATTCGTTCTAGTATCATTGACAATGCCATCACGACAAACGCAAGAGGGTAAACAAGTATTAGACTCGAGGACATTGTGGTAGTTCGGTTGGGATGGCTTACGATAAACTGTGTTACGACATTTCTAATTTACTGAATGTATATTCGATAAAGAACGTTTTATCTTTTTTCGTAGAGACGTTTGCTTTCAGCTTCCCGATAGAGAAGCCCTTGAAGCCTGCTGCCATCGCCATAGGATGCTCACTCATTGATCATACAAGGCCCGTGATCAGTTTGAAGTGAAGTTTGTTTTCTTCATCCACTTATTATTTGACGGCTCCAATTGCTTTATAACGCTATTTTTTCCTTGTACAGTTTTATAATACCGTTGCACCTTTTTCTTGTTAGCTAAAATTACTAAAAGGAGACACGCTGAGTCATTCATCATCACCATCGCAGAGGCTCTGCGAAAGTGGATTCGGCGAGATCTTTAATATTCATTGGCCGTTCTTTTGAACGGATCTTTTTTGTACTCGAGTGCTTTTCACCTGTTTATGTTCGATGAGAAAATCAAGTAAACTAAATGTAGAACGATTTCAGTAAAGAAAATCTTTCTGAAGCTCGTGGTAACAACAAGAAGTGCTTTTGAGAATCCTGCTTGCAACATGCAAAACGTATGTTCGCTGTTTAGCCGACCAAAATCGCTTTCGAAGTCGAATCGCTCTTCGAACCGCGTCGGGTCTCATTGAAAAAAACATAGGCATTTACAATGTATAAGACTTGCCACGAAATTGAATTGGAATCCCTAAGCTCTGTGGCAATGATTTTTTTCTATTCAATAATATAATATAATAGCTACATGTCAAACATGGTATAAACAGAATATATTTGTGGAAACATGAGTTACCCCAAATGACTTGGCTGTTGTGAGGTACCCTTCCAATATCAATACTCTGAGCTTCAATGGGGAGTTAGGAACTGAAAATACTTTAAAAGTTTTTGTTACGTTACTTACATAAACGGTACAAGCATTAACTACCACCTGTTTTCGCTGTGTGTCTTTGTTTTTCGAAAATAATACCTTTGGACTATAGTAATTCATTTATGGCTACATTTACGGTTGTAAATGGTTACGGTCGAGCAAAATATACTGCACAATAAAATGAGGTCGGTTAAGGATGTCGTTATGATCGGATCGTATATCAGAATTACTTTGGGTACGAACTGGCCTCATAAGTGATGAAGGCTAATGTTCGTTATTGCAATCAGCCTTCGGCCTAACGATTTCATGTACTGTGTCCTGCAGCTGTATCACGCAATAACGGCAACAGTTAATTCTAGATTGACACAGGCAGTTGTTCCGTTTTGTGAATGGGTTTGTATTCGATATATCACATATTAGTATTACCCTCACCTACCATATAGTTCAGCAAAATGTTGTATCAATCCTAAACCTTTTTTTTTTTTTGGAGGTTGAGGGCAAATGCGTTATGCAGGCCAGACATCACTGAATTGTGCTTTGTCTGATACTGTGGGACTCTCACCCACTAAATCCTGGACCTCTTCATCAGCTTGGGTCATAGTTCGGGATATATTTGATATTACTTCGAAACCATGACTTGCAGGAACGGTCATTTCGTCATCATTCACTTTGAACCCTTCCAGTCCATCCTCCATTCTGGCTTTCCCCTTGACCGTATACGCTGGGTCTCGAGAGAGACCAAACTTCCTGCTCTCCCGTTAATGCCGACTGTTGTGTGTCAGGCTCTTGATTGCTTCGGGCCTGTCCTTCTACTATTCTCTCGCGTCGCATCCTTTTAAGCTGTTCCTTTTCATAATGTCATCAAAGAAGACCGTAACTTTAGCCCAGGTCGTCCTGTCTTTTATCATCATATCCACCAGTTCCTTAGCGCTGCCCTTTGTTGCTATTTCTCTGTGTACTTGTTTATCCCTAACCCCTTTAAGTGCCTGGCAGTGAAGTAGAGTATGTTCTACTCCGTCCTTCGTGCCCGACACGCAAAGTACACAGGTGTCCACTTGCGTTTTGCCGATCTTTGTCATGTAGGTCTGGAACTGTCCATGACCCGACAGGACTTGGCAGGAATGGTACGTAAGCTCTCCGTGACTGCCGCGAATCCATTTTCTGGCATCTGGTATTAGATGTCGGGTCCAACTGCCCGGAATCTCTCCTCGGCCTTTCGTGTGGGGATTTTCCCATCGCTGTTGCCATTTGTCCAACGTGGCCTCTTTGTCGTCGTTCGGCTCTTTCTCCGGCAACCAGATCCCATGGGACCATTTTGGCCAGTACTAGAAGTGCTTCGGTTGACACGGTTCTGTATGCTCTTGCCACACGTATTCCGACTATTCTTTGAGCAGCTAGCAATGTATCTCGGTTGGCTTTTGTCTTCAGTGCCATTTGTGCCCATACTGGGGCTGCGTATAGCGCTCTAGCCTCGGCTACTGAGGCTAGTAGTCTTCGGTTACCCTCGGAGGCTCCTCCTACTCTGCGCAGTATTCGCTACAAGTTGAGGGCTGTACTTTCTGCCTTTGTAGCTGCATGTTTAGTATGTTCTCTTCCAGTCATTGCAGCGACTATCATCACGCCGAGGTATTTCGCTTTTCTCTGGATGCTGATTTGAGTGTAACCCAAAAATATTTCTACGCTTTTGGTCTTCTTTTTTCCAGTTAGGTATATTGTTTCTGTCCTTTCCGCGGCTAACCCTAGATAATGTTGTCGTCCATCGTTCTATGAGTTGGAGGGAATCGTTAGCCTGATTCTGTAGTTCCACGTCTGTCCGGGCTCTGATTATGAGAGCCAGGTCATCTGCATATGCTATGGTGTCTAAACCCTCCGGTAGAGTCGTTATGTGCAGTACACCGTCGTAGGCTAGGTTCCATAGCGTTGGACCGAGGACCGACCTCTGCGGGACTCCAGCTATGACCGTGTATCTTGTCCCATCCGCTATCAGTCTTCTGTTCTCTGAGTATGAGCTGATGATCCTGCGTAAATACGTAGAGATGTCCTTTTCTTCCAGGGCTTCCATCAATTTTCCCCAATGCATGCTATTAAAGGCATTTCTAACACCCAGAAGGATTAGCTGAAGACCCGAAACTTCGTGCTGCTTATCTCCTCCCGCTATCCCGAGGACCCTGTCCACAGCTGTCAGTGTCGAACGATGTTTCCTAAAGCCATATTGCGCCTCTGATAGTGCCTCTTTATCTTCAGTCTCCTTGGTCAATCTGTTTACTATTATGCCTTCCATAGCTTTTGCTGCTGTGTTTAGAAGGCAAAATGGTCGAAACGCCGTAGGTCCTGTCTTTTTTCCGGGTTTTGGAATCAGTACTAGGTTCGCTTCCTTCCACATATCCGGGAATATCCCTCTTTGTCATTCGCCAGTTTTTGAAATATCGTTGGCCATCTTTTAATTAGTATCCTGACTACTTCTGGTGGAACGCCATCCGGTCCCGGTGCTTTTCTGTTATTTCTTCCAGTGTTACTTCTGGGATGTTTCTTTCACCAACCTCGAAAGTTGTATCGCCCCTCTACTGTTGCGTTGGGAACAGGCTTCTTACCGCTTTCACCACTACATCGGGGGGGGGATTGGTGACGATTTTTTCTTTATTTTATCTATTACAATTTGGTAAGGCAGTCCGAACACGTCTCGATCAACTGCTTCAATGAGTTTTTGCCAGCATCTTTCCTTACTACGTCGTATGCTTTGTTTTAACTTATTTCGGGCTTCCTGGTATTCCCGGAGTTGTTATCTTGCTCTCTGCTCTGTTTCTAATTGTAGATTGTCCGTATGTCTCTGCCAGCTTCTTGTTCTTGTGTATTTGCGTCTTTTCCTCACACACATTTTCCTGAGCTCTGTGATTTCCTTGTTTTGGCCGGTGATGGTTTCGACCGCTGGGCGGTCGCCGATCAGCTTTTGTGCATGCTTCGATTATTTGCTGACTGAGTTGCTGCGCTCCTATCTGTATCTCTCCGGTTCCCGTTTCGCGTGGCGTGATTTGTTCAGACGTTCTGTCTATTTCCCCTTGCAGGATGGAGAGGTCTAGCTCCCTTGCTTGCCGTCTTCGTGTTTTTCTCTGTTATGTTCTCCGGTGGGCTTGTTTGCTCGACGTGAAAGAATATGTAGTGGTGGTCACTACCGCTTTCCTCTTCGTCCATTACTGTCCACCCTACTGTGGAGACTGCTGCCTCATTGTTTACCAATGTGATATCTATGTGAGATGGGTAGCCTCTCTGTTCGCGAGTAGGAGTCTCGCCGTTACTAAGCACCGCAAATCCCTCTGCTGCCAGTCCTAAACCCACTTCTATCTAGTCGTTGCAAAGTTCATTTACAGCGTTCACATATCTAGCTGGAATAGACTTTTAAGTTATGAATCGAATCTCTATACTTCGAATCGAATACAAATATCTGTACTTCGTCATTTGGTGTATGTTATCTTACATTAATTTATTTGCTAATAAATTGGCTATAATTTACGCTTGCCACAATGACTTTTTAGACATGGCCCCTTCTACCGGGCACAATAGAAAACATTGGCAGGTTTACTGTCGAAACATGCCAGAGTTAGGTATTAACAGGTAGCAGTATGAACCTTCAAATACAGCGATCTCAAACGTTGGCTGCTATAGAACAACTGGCATAATTGCCCGCCCACTGACTTCAAAGCATTAGTCGAGGACGAAGGTTGCCACCCATTGTCGGGAACACTCATCAATCATCTGACGATCATTTCGTTTTCTAGATCCATAGACGCCATTTGGTTTATCGCCCTTTGTAGTAGCAGATTATTGCGCTTTCTTTATTAGACTTTAAATAAAGATAAAAAAAAAAACGTAGAGTGTCCGCTTCTTATGCCAAGCTCTCGACCTATGTTGCAGCAGTATCTTGTCTTAACAACAAATAAACTCGTACATAGCTATTGCGTTATGTTTTTGTACGGGTATACTTTTCGGTTATTTTCTTCATTGCGCCGTTGACTCAGGCTGCTTGCATTACCTAAGCAGTACGCTAAATTGTAGCCCCCCTATTGGTAGGTCTGGCGAGTAGTGGCACTGCTATCGTTGGCGCATTAAGTGGCTTAAACGAAATGCCTTCAAATCTTCACATAAGTCGACAGCAAGTGTCAGTGCTCTTCCATTAGGTTGTCAGCCGCGTTACGTGTAATAACTCGTAGCAGAGAAAGCGACGTCTACGTTATTTTCTCTATTAATCCCTCCCAAACTATGGCGTCCGAATCTATAATTTAAACCCAATGTCAATTGAGTCTTGTGTTGCGGCCCCGGCAACGGCGCCGTTCTGAAATAAATGGGATAAAATAAATGATCCAGTCGCGCAAAGTATTTATTCAGTAAACTGATTTAGGCTTTGGCCTGCGCAAACTTTGCCCTCTAGGATCAGAAATACGGCAAACGCTACGGATAGGCTCAGTGCCTTCGGTATAGCCGCATCTAGCGACAGACAAAGGATTAGGGCGAATGTTTTGCCCTTGTCTTATTGGATCGAGTAGCATTCGAAGTATGAGTGAGATGGTTTTTTCTAAAGAATATATTTATGACTGACAGCAAAATCATGTTGAGCCGCTGTCTAAACACATGGACAAATGTTTCTCAGCGAGAGTTCTTTGACAGTTTGAAAACAATGTAACAAAAAGAACTAGCCGTACCTTGTACATAGACTGTTATCTTTGTCGTTTGAACTGACTGTGATGCCTTGCAGACTAAGCGACTAAAAGAGATGAAGACTCGCTGTGGGCGAACGGAGCGACGCTTTCTTGCTGTCTCATTGTTCACCTCACAAACCTTCTGATTTACTGAAGTGCTCTAATCGAAAGAGACTGTCTAACTAAAAAATTTTCGTTGTTAGCTAGGACTACGCGTCGGCCATCCTTCTCGCAGGCGCTTAGAAAATTTCAGCATTTTGGTATATTCTCCACTTCAACCTCTCGCTGTTAAGTTTAGCAACAGACAAATATTTTCTAATGCTAGTATATCTTTGTTTGTTTAATCACACAAGTAATGTACGATAAGTCATAGCCATGTGATATAAAATAATTGCGGTAAATGGGGCAAGCCTTTGTATGCCCATTTGTTCCATAAATGTAACATTTTTTGTCTTTTGGGAACCAGCAATCGTTTTTTCATAGCCTTGTGTTGCCTGCACGTTTGCGATCTACTTTAGCAATTCTATAGCAAAGATTCTAGGACATCGATGTCAAAGAAGGATACTTCAGTCCTTTAACCTTTCAAGTTAACACTACTGTTCAGCTAGAACATTCTCATGTGCTTCAGCAACTTTATACACAGGTTCTCTTAGAGCTTCTGGGACGTCGCTACCGTAAACATACACTCTGATCCTCCCACATACAAAGCCAGCTTGTCTCTGACTTAACCTCGCAGTTCGATGGTAAAAGGAAGTTGCTTGCGTTGGCAGAGGTTACCATTATAATGAGCCAAACGGAAGTCCGTTTTTGCTGTAATAGCCAGCCACTGTCTAGCAGAATTGAACCTTTTTTTTTTTTTATACTATTTTGCCATAAACAGTTTAAGTGAAATATAAAACAGATTATTGCATATACCGATCAGATTTATCTGTGTGTAGTGAATGTCTGTTTGTTATAGTAGCGTTGATGGAGTTATATCAAAGCCTTTGATACTCGCATCGTATATGTACTATCTGCCATTGACCTGCTAAATCGAAAGTTCGACTTGTGGTATTGGTCCCAATAGGCTGACGCAACGTCAGCTAAGTAAAAGGAGACAAACTGTGACTAGTCATCCTGACGTTTGCCAGGTATACGTATATAAAGGTTAGACACCGAAAAAGCAAATATGAAAAATACATTATGTGAGCATATTTCTATAGTAACGTCAACAAACAATGACACGAGGCAAGAGGGCGCCAGTTTTTCAATTAGAGCGAGATGTCCAAAGAGCTAAAGCCGTTCGTTCTTTGTTATGTCTTCATCATTATCTAGGCTATCACGAAACGCTGTTGGTATCCAAATAGCAGCAAACACAATCTTACATAATATCGTATGGTCTATCAACAATTACGTACGATAGACAGTGAAGTCTTACATTTAACTCAAATGAGCATAAGAGGACGATCATTCAACATGGGGCTGTTTACCACTGCTTCTCGATAAAGAGGAACTTATCTAAGAAATGGACAAATCCAGGACTTCTTCTTGAAGATAATAGGACGTTGCAGGAAGCCTATTTACCCTGTCTTAGTAACTGGTAGCCTAGTTGACGCTGTCTTTTTCCTCCGTCATACATACGCGGTTTGTTATATACAAACCGCCAGGTAAGCCCGGCGATACGAGTTGTGAACGAATTTCTAAAATTGACTAAGAGCTTCGATGCCATCGTTTGGCCTCGGGTACATGCTTTCTCTTTATAAAGTCCACTTCGTAGGTCATCAACAAATTGAACATGTTAGAAAAGATGAATTTATTTGACAGTTATATTGATCATACATTTTTTGAGCTTTTTTTTTAATCTAGAGTTTTTTAATTTAAATTTGAAGCTATCAGCTTTACAGGCGCTACATTTACTATCTTAGATGTCGTTTCATATCGCCGTGTCAGATTAATGGGTAACGTGTTTGTATGATGATCTTTAGGACCCGTTGTGGTCTAGGTTCGACTCCGCATGTAGACACGTTTCGTTTTGTGCTGGGAGCTAGCTAGCTAGCGGCGATGCATGACGTAAAGCTCAAAATACAGAGACTTTCTTTCATAGTATATAATAGTGAATACATGACAGTTAACGAACTTGGCGAGTAGACAGGTCAGAGATAGTGTTTCATGCGTACGAATGTTTTTAGACCTTCGTTAAAAACAAACTTAAAGGACGTAATCATAACCGAAGTCGCAATAACGTGCCTGAACCATCCGAAGTTTTGAGTTAGATAATAGTGATTTCGACAGGCCGCGCTATTTCTCCATCCATGAAAAACATTAACAATTAGTATTTGCTGCAATTTTTATGTGCCTGTTAATGCCCTGTTACGCAGGCACACATTATACATTTATTTATTCAGCGTCTTTTAATACGATTCTTCGAAAAGCGCTGGCACTGTTTTATGGGAGCCATACGGTGCGAATTAGTAGTACCCCTTAGCACCAGCTTGTCAAGATCACGGATTTCCAGGGAATATGATCCAACGGACCCGATAGGTGAAGCGGCCGTTACTCTCACACTCTACAGATGAACCAACGTTGGGCTGATTTCAAGCTCTTATATCTGTGTTACTTTCGTGATGCCGAAACACTATGTGTCGCATAGTCATATATATGTCATTGATGATAGTAAACAATTTTTACGGCGCCTTAGCTGCTTTTTGACTTCACATTAATAGTTCTATCGTTACTCTGCTGTATTGAGATGTGCTACATTAAAGTTTATTCCACGTAATGCTGTTGTGTTACACATTAAAGCCCAAAGTGGTTGGCAGGACTATGCAAATGGTGGCAAGGAAGAGATATAATGGTAATCAAACGAGCCAAGTTTATTAATCAGATCGCTAATGACGAAAATAGGTAGTCAAAGAGGCAACTTTCAGGCTGTTTTTAGTTCGGTCACTATGTCCATGACTTCTTCTGTTCGAAACCAACTCAGACTTGAAAAGAAATCGTGTAAGTTTTCGTGTAACTTACAGATTGATAATATTAATATATATTTAGATTGTACAACAAACACATAAAAATAGCCCTTGTTCTACAAACATAGGTGATAATTAATCTAAGAACTAATAAAAAGCCATTCGCAACACATCCCATCTAGCGTCTGTGCGAAATACCGTAAGATGGGCCTTGTTGAGAGCTTTCGTTGTCGTTGATCTTATCTCGTTGCTATAACGGTCTGAAAAAGGCCTAATTCACAAGTACTTTGCCCAAAACACGGTAACAACTTCTATTCTATAGTTCTAGTAATTATAATAACACGGGAACATCCGCCCTACACATTCCTCACGGTAAAGCACATTGAATTTTCTAGCATACGTAAGGATAATACTAACTTATCAAGTAAACTAAGTTGAGTCACGCCGTAAACGTTAAATATTTTCAGTGACCAATTATAGGCATCCGTGCCTGCCAGGGAATCTACTACTATTGCATACTAATAATAACCAGCTGTGCCTCTAAACAAAGCACTACAATCTTAATTTAACCCGAATGAAAGGTTCTGGTGAGGAACTGATGTGATGGCTTTTATAGCTTCGTAGAGATATATTGATGAAATAGCCAAAGCGGAACATCTATATGATACGATACCAAGTAGAAGTTTGGGTCACGGACTCACAGGTACAATAAAGCTGTACCTGCTTTGTATACGCACATCTTTTGGGGCAGCGGCGTCCTATATTGTTTTTTTAGTTGTTCTTATGTCCTTTTGAAAAATTACGCGTGTTCATGTCGAAAACAGGCGAGAAATACAGGCGGCTGAAGGCGGTAAGGATCAGCGTATGCTGCATCGTGGCTATAAACCCCTACCACGAGCACGTTCAGGTCCGGTAAAGTCGACATGCACACGAAAGTTCATGCGCTGTACTATATAGTCTTATAAATTGTAGAGGTTGGAAAGATGAATCATCTAGCCAGTTATCTTATTAGTTGCTTATTAATTGAGGTAATAGAGGAAACTGGGATTCATGTCTCGTTTTACGTTCACCCTTAGCTGCTCCACCTATTTTTGCTGAGCATGCACCGAGCATCCCTCGTATTCCTTAGCTTAGCGGTGGCTTATAACCGAATCAATTCTCTTAAAAGCAGTTTTTGGCCCCGGGATATTGTTTTTCCAAAGATATTTCGGGAGGACGCAAAAAAAAAGCAGGATTAAATTTTGCCTCAATAATCCTCTGTTTCCTGTCTACATAATGGTTTCATCAAGATTTTTTGAAATGTCTGAAAATTTATTTGTATCGTCTGCTAATAAAAAACGTTAGGCAAGATCGATGTGCTTCAATACGATGAATTCCCATTATTACTAAGAGGTAAAAAAAAACTTGCAGTCAACCTAAGCGGCAGAAAATGCATGCCCATGTAGAGACCTTCGGAGTTTTTCTGTAGGTTTCATGAAGGCACCGAATAACTAATTTCTAGAGGTGTTTCATATAAACTCGCTGCTGATAGCTTAAAACGACTTTAACCTGTGATTTTAGTAAGTATATATGGTGTATTGAGGTTGTGCACTGAGAAGCAGATTCTTATATTAGTTCAAAAGTGTGGTTTTATAAATTACACTAATTTATGCGTCGTACATTTTTAAATAAAAATCAAATTGTTGTTCATTGCATCTTAGGACCTTAGGGAATCGTAACGTTACTTCTACGTGATTTTAATTCACGTATAATTTGTCTTGGTTCGATATTGACTTCAGTGATAAAGGCAGGTTTCAGCACTTGTATTATGGAACTCCTCGTTTGTCGCATTTAACATGCTATTAGTAAAATTTCATCAACTTTCTTTATGGTTCTTACGTAGGACGACAATATCTAAAGAAACGCAGTGATTCAATTAGTTTTTCACGGAGACAAGTGTCGCGAAAAAAAAAAAACATTAAATCCAGTCAAATCGAACTCAATATCCAATTTCACATTTCATTCATACATATTATTGTTTAGTAATTGCATATTGCCGAAAGCCATATTAAGACACTATGACGAAAAGGAGCTCAATATAGGAGGTCAGAAGCTCGGAAAAGGTATTGCGGATAATCCTCTAGACACAACATCTCTCCTGTACTCAACGATTCCTTAAAAAATCATGAAGACAGACGAAGATAATTTTTGACGTATTTGTGAGGAGTCAACAGGCAATCACCTTTTCCACAATATAATCTTCAATTATGTTCCCTGCTTTGTTGTATCTAACCATTCCTGTTAAGTGTCCCTAAAACTAGTAAGCAATCACGCTGTTACCGAATTATCACCACCAATTTGCTCAGGCACATGCAGTACATGATAGTAATTTGACATGTAGAATAAACAGAAACAACATATAACCTGTAACAATACTACTAATTATCACCGTTATTAAAACATGTGAGAAATGACGAAATAAACACCCATACATGATAGCAGACCGCACCGTAACAAAAAACAAAAAGAAAATATCGGAAATACGAAAGGCAACGCTAAATTAAGTCCTAATTTTTTTCTTTTCATATTAGGATACTATTAGAGGTAACTCGTATTACTCTATATATCCTAATATGAAAAGAAAAAAATTAGGACTTAATTTAGCGTTGCCTTTCGTATTTCCGATATTTTCCTTTTGTTATAAAAAAAAATTATATATAATTTTTTTTTTTGTTTAAACACGATTGTATTTTTGAAAGAGTAAGTAAAAAAAAACTGCGAGTTAAAGGCTGTAATTCTCTATGTGGAGGGACCTGTGTAGCAGCAGTTCATGTCTAACCGTCGAAGTATCTTCATTTTTAATACAAGGTTACATTTGTTATTTAAACTCTCGTCAGATGAGTCTGCGCTTCTCGCCAGCAACCCAATTCCCTGCGTAGAGACTGCAACGTCCCAATAGGACAGAACGATTCGGCATACGGAAACGGTGTTTCGTAAGGACAAAATTCACCGAAGTTAATTTGCATATCATTGAGCTGGGTAGGCATTGGTAGAATCAACATACCTACAATGTTAGTATATTGCCAACAATAAGCTCTTTATGAATACATATAGTTATTCGGTTACAATAGGCAAAAATCACTCGTAAATTGGTTGTATCTACACTTCTTGCTCTTCATAGAGTGGCTGCCTTCATACGCGTTTGCGATTCCTATTGCAGTATATACATGATGACGGAGGCAAAACAGCTAATTTGTGTTTTCGGATATAGTTTTCGTGTAGCATTTTTCAACAGCTAATTCGTGTTTTCGGATATAGTTTTCGTGTAGCATTTTTCAACAGCTAATTCGTGTTTTCGGATATAGTTTTCGTGTAGCATTTTTCACCTCGTATATTGTAAATTGGTTTCCGAATCTATAGTTTTTTATTGACTCAGCTTATCTGATTTATTATCTTTGCTTCCCTTTTTGTCGAGGGCTTCCCAACTATTCGTTTTTTCGGCTTGCTCATCCGTTCTGTTGTGATCATCTTGCCAATGGTAGGCGGCAATCCTGTTGCGCTCGTACTGCCAATGGTCGTCATAGATCCTGTTTCCCTCACCTGGCCTCCTGTTGAACTCATCTTGTCAGTGGTGGGCACCGGTCCTGTTGTGTCTGTTATATCTGCAATGTATACCTCACTCATCGTAGGCTTCAAATCCTTAGGGTACTCGTCTGCCTCCTCTAGCTGCAGGCTGAGGCCGCACCAGTCTAACGCATGCGTTTGTACTTTGTCGCATTTGGTAGCTGCTTCGGGGAAGTAATTACATTTATGAAGCGCTCGCAGATCGGGTGACATGAAAAGGAAGACGTCACAGATTATTGCCCAATCGATGGTCCCGTGTATTCCGACGGGAGTTCCACACCCGATCATGCAAATTTGCCAGAGCAGATCGGCTCGTTTCTTAAATGTAGTTAGCTGGGCAAGTCTGTAAGAAAATCGAATTTCCACGTGCAGATGCTGAGAGCTGGGACATCTTAGACGCACCGGTTGAGTCAGAACAACGGAGAAAGCATAAGGGCTACATGAGATATCACTGGACGTTGTAAAGTACTGACAAGCCAACCATCCGCTAACTTTCCTAGAATTGGCCACTAAACTTTTCCATGGAAAGTTACTTTTCGAAAGGGAGAAAAATGTAGGATTGATACTTATACTGAAACCTGATCAGAGAGGTCACATTGTCTCCTTAGTGCAATAAATAACGACTCCATTAGTGAAATAAGAAAAATGAACGCTTGTAAAAAACCACTGCCGATTTGGGGAGAGTCAATCAACTCTCTCGTCTTGGCTACACAGTAGGCCTTGGAAAATGCTCAGAAAAATGCGCCAATCCAACGGTCTCTGTTTTGCTATTCCTTGAAGATAAACTAAAATGCGATTTTGAACATGCCAGAACCGAAGCGGACATCCCTATATTTTAGGCGCACTACTTACGTCATAACAGAGGATGGCGTTGGCTACGAATAACGACGAGACCGTCTTGAGATAAACACTGTAAAGTTTCGCCTACGATGTATCGGTCAAACTACCTATACCGGAAGGTGTTAACAAAATACAACCGGATGTCTTTGTTGATCACTCTATAGAACTGACACGGAACAATATAGAATGAACCAAACGTGAACCTATGTTATGCATTACGTTGGGAAGGAGGACACCCTCTTGAGGGTCTATCTTTTCTTTTCAAGCCATTGGCAGAAAGAAGTCCAATTAGAAAAGCTGGTTATGTCTGTAAGAGATCAATTCGTCTCGGGAGTAGACTCTGTAGTTCCCTATGCGCCTTAGGTTTGCTGGACCGTATTATAAAAGGAGTTATAACTAAATTGAGATAACGGATGCAACAAAACGGAATTAGTTGCGATCAAATTATGGATTCATTGAATTACAGTGACGCTATACCTGTGAGGACACAACTACGGCGACATAGGGGGGAATTTGCTAAAACACACTGTAATTATTAGCGCAATCAGCAAACAGACGTTACCCGAACTTTATTCAATAAATCCAAAAAAAAAAAATACCAAAAATGTCCACGGCCTGTTATCTTAAACATACATAACTTGAAGCATATGTAGTAATAGTTACTATAGCAGAATGAATGCCCTGAAAACCTATACCAACCTGCACGCACCCAGGGCGATAAGCTTCGCAGATTCCATAGTAAGGACCAGCTCGTCCTTTCCTATAACCCGTTTAAACTTACTTCCGTCCATTCTTCGTACTGCACGAACTGCACTCTCACATGATGCAATTTCGGAAAGATCGTCTGCGGTGAAATTGTACTGAAGGTTGACAATTTTCAAAGGCTCAATCATCGGCTGCCATTCATTAACAGACACTTCTATACGGTTACTATACGGAAAATCATCAACCCAATGGTCGGGATTTACAAGGAAATCCTGATAGCTCACGTTTTCTGGCATCATGGCCAAGAAAGTTTCGCAAACGACTGAGGTGAGGTCACTACAGTAGTTGTCATGTATCGCAGGGTGATGGAGAAGATAATGGCTGAACCGTTTGAACTTCTTTACTGGTGGCCTATTCAAGTCAACGTTAATAGAGAAAACATATGCTCTTTGTAGTTAGGTGCTGGCCTGCTTCATGTATGTTCAGTAGATTAACTGATCCAGAGGCCGAATTCCTACTCATGTTAATAGTTTTCCAATAGCTCGCTTTATTCACACGGCTTGCTGAGAATATATTTCGAAGCCATATAAATTTTTTTGTCTATATACAGACGCGTATACAGGCTTTTTTCTTAACGTCCAATAAGATCAAGCTGTGACATAAGATGCCCCCACGACGTTATAAATAGCTCTTAAGCGACGACGTTATTGCGTATAACGCTTAAAACGAAACGAACATCTACATCTATTTTGCAATTTTGAAATTATTATTAAACTATTGAAAATAAATAAACGTTGTAAAACTTGAAAGTGCCAGCATAATAGACTAGTTTTAGAAGCTCACAACGATAGTACTCACAGGGATTTGTCGACATTTTTCCATAGTTGACGAAGCCTGGCCATCCCTTGCTCATCGGGTTTAGCCAGTATGGAGTCCCATGTGAAAATCGACAGCCCAAAGTAGACAAAAAACGCTGCAGAACACACAAGACAAAGGATGGACAGTTTAAAGCTATGTTGCGATCGAAATTCAATATCGGCGTCCCGACGTTCATTAGAGATTCGGCGAATCCTCAATGGCCAACTTTGTCCTTCGTCTGCCTGATATTCGTCGCCCTCATCATCTCGATCAAGGATTCGGCCCCGATTGCGGGGTAGGCCCGGCATTGCTGAGGATTAGCGACGATTAGTCAACCTCGAAAAACCTTTCCGAATTCGAGCCCAAAAGGAGGTGAAAAAGTACATTGAGCAGCTTAAGTTCAAAGGGCGGATAGCTCGGGCTTTTATATTATCATAGCGGCTAAAGCCACTTCCTGTACATGGCTTGTAGAGACGACTGAGTGTGTCCTAAAGTTTCTGATTTTACGAACTTATGATCCTTAGGATTTGTTAAGTTCAGAAGAACAGCGGATCGCGGTACGTGAAGCAAGGGGGAAAATTTAGGTTGAGTTCGTAGCTCCGCTATTTGAGAAGTTAAACGATGATGCTTGTAGGATGTAAACAACAATGGTAAAGATAACATAGTGGAATTTGACCAGGTTTAAAGCGACAAAAACCGCATTAAAACTTCGTTGTTAATAGGGGCTACAGCAGTAATGACCACCGAAGCTGAAACAGGGGATTAAGAATTCGACATTTCCCGATTCGACGGCTGTGTTCAAGCAGAAACCACTTTCATGAAAGTCGTCCTTTCTCAATCGCATCACGAACAGGGATGAAAAACATGGTGGGCAAAAAAGCATGCGATTCTTAAATAATAATTAGGAGACGGCACTCTTTATAGTTTGATATGATTTCCGCCATATTGCCTAAGGCCACCAGTTGTCCGAAACAGATGTTTATTAGAATTTCGTTGCGTTTTCGTAGAGTTTCGAAGCCAGAAATGCAAGCATTAAAAAAATATTGCTATATATATATATATTTCGAAGTCTCGATAGGGATGAGAGTGAAGTGCTCCTGACACTGAAACGATGTCATGTTTCTATAATATACAGTGATTCGCTATATAAGCTAACTCAATTTTTTTTTGGCCAGACGAGGGAGTATCGTTGACAGAGTAGGCATTCCGCGACAGAAAAAGTTATCAGGGTGCGCGACGGTGCGTCCTCATAGGTTATAATCTTTGTTAGCTTCATTCGTAGTGTACATAGGTTAGATCGAAGTCGGGTGACATTGTGACTGGCAGCCAAAGGCGGCCGATTGAACTTGATAAAAGCGTAAAATATTCATTTACATAATAATAATCTAGATTATTCGTCTGTTGCGAAGTTCTCGCACAAAGAATGAAAAACAAAAAATTGCTGATCAGTTGATATTTGCCTGATATTATATATTATAGTTTCACACCGGCCCCCTACGATGTTATTATTGGAATGAGCACGCGTATGCCTTTGTTTTTTTTTTTTTATCATACAGACATATGAAAAGAACAAATCTATGTATATCGTCACAGTGTTACACACTTTCACATGCCAGTGACCGTGTCCGTGTGTACAAAAACATTGTATATAATTATTGAACTCGATATAATGAGGATTACTATCGATGTCCGACCAATCGACAGTAACAATTGACCAAAATGATAATGTAATAGTAACAAACACTTCTATTAAACGGTTGATCTTCATACATATGGAGATACGCTTCACATATGTGTTCCGCCACTGATATAGCGCGATAACATTGCCAATAAATAGGGACGATATAAAGTATTACAAAATCATATGACTATAAATGGATATTTTCAGTGACCCTATCCAAACGCGTTCTATTTAGCAACTTAGTGCCTACTTTGATTTTAGAATTGATCCCAAATAGACTATTTAACGTCTGAGAATTGCAGAGTAACTGCACCTATTACTGCTACAAGCCAGAATGGATCTTTAAGGGAAAATGTTACAGGAGATCATCAAAGTTAGTCTCAGTTACAAAAGAAAATAGTCTATAACGTGTGTGTACATCGATCATTTACTTTTAGCTCGTATATTAATGTATAATAAATGCCACGTATTCAATCTCAAATGCTCGACCGATATAAACGCCAAGTTAGGTGATAAACGTCAAAGCTTCACGTGTTTACTCGATAAGTAATCTAAATAAGTGGAGGAAAATCCAGCAGTTGTACGTAATGAACACCGAACAGAAAAGGCTTCCTTCAACAAAGTAATAACATTGAGAAAAACGTATCAGCAAAAAAAAAGGAATTTATGTTGGTTAGTGTGATAAACGTTACGTAAGTGCTACGATGGCATCAAGCAGACGTTTGTTCTGAGTAGATTACCATTTCGTTTAAGCGTAAATTTTCTGGTTGGCCATAGAGCGTAAGTCGTAAACTACAATACACAGATGCTTCCAGAAGCTTTAAATGAAATTTCTAACAATTTAATAAGGACAGCGGACAATTTTACACGCTTCACGACTATGTTAAACGATCCGAAGATCGCTTTTCGGTGAAGTTCTGGATAAACGACAATATATTTGTGGATTTTAATTTCAAGCCTAGAGTCAATGTTACATCATTCCGTTATGTATATATGTATATGGTCAGTAAAGGCTTTAACCATCGATAAATTAGCAGACTTCAACGAAACAAGCAAACATAAATGAAGCCCATAGATACAGTGCTAAGTTGTAAAATCTGCAATTTATCTGAAATCTAGCCAATTTAACTGTAGTAGATATTTCCATTCGTCCATCGGGTATCTCAGATTGACCCAACTAGTCGAGCAAACTTAGCTCTAGGTGGCGGCTTCGGGACATTGCCTAAGAGAAGAACTGAGAATTAATGAGTAATGGATGAAATCCGACCGTTGGGATTGGGGCCCACACTTGATTCCAATTCCAATAGGTTTTGTCCCTGTGCTATCCGACGTACGTAAGAGTATTACTCAAATTCTCATAAAACGTAACATGTATGTCATCTTATCAAAATGCTCAATAGAGTATATAGCGTCACATTTAATCAAATTTGTTTTGCAAATAGCTGAGCTTTTACTTTTTGTTTTCCAAGAGTACGTCTTGTTTCAAAAAAGCTATAGGTACATCTTTACGAATCAGAATAATAATACTAATCGTATAAAGTTAGATATTATAACAAATACTAACTCAACTTTAGTTTCATATTTATCTAAGCGTACATACGAATAAATATAAGTTCCGGCTTACTTGAAAGCCACGTGAAAGTTGAAACAAAACAGAAAAATTATCGAGCAGCTATATGTCCCTCTTTCCGATCGCTTTCTTCACAACTGGTCACAAGTTTATCTCTCTCTAATTGGCAAATTACACATTTTAATGGCATACGCCCTCTTTCGTGTGATCGATCTTTGTCGGTTCTTCCGGTACTCGTCGTACTTTCATATCCGGTTCCCACTCTGCCAACGGGCACGTTTGACGCATCGTCGATAGCTTTGGCGGCCGGATTCTCGGCCTGGGACATGAGCTGATCACACGCTTCCTGCCTTGCACGTAGGCAGGTGTACGCCATACATCTTATCATGGCGGCTGCCAACGCTCGTAATTATGTCTCAGCCTTTGACGTTCCAGTGTGAGGAATTTGTGCCTTTGACATGTAAAGGTGCCGCCTGTGCTACACAGCAGACGACAAGATCCTTCCAATAGAAACTAAAAACGCCATCGGATCCAGCCGTAGCTGAGCGACGATGATACTGCTACAACCAGCTGTCGTTAACGTTATCTTTTGGCTATCATCGTCTCTTTTGGCTTCATCAGATAAGTTACAAGGATTTTGGCATTTTTTTTCTCAACAGTAGTGTTCCAATGAATGTCCTAATCACATAACTTATGATAGGCCAGTCAGTGGACGTATGTTTATTATGGGAACTGACTACGCAAGAAAGTTAGCCGAAAAATACTTAGCAGAGGGGAAGAAGCTAGCTATCAATTAGAGCTATTTTTTGCCGTCCCGTCTCTATGAATAATTAAAGATTGTGGTCGATTGTATTCTTGTCCTTCGTTGTAGTGCCTGAAACTGTGCGTATAATTAGCCTAGCAGCACCGCTCGGCCTAGGGAATATGCGCTCAAGCCGATCCAGAACGCAAGACCCTCCCAGGCATAGAAATCAAGTGAAGTGTTTTAACCGAGTAGAGATAGACGTTGTCGTGATTCGAGGAAGTTGTGCGGGCATAGGCGTCTGGGCAAACAACGGGCAAACAATTCTCAAAAAATCTACTTTCGATAAGTGGTCAATGTTCAAATACTGAAGCCATTAAAAAAAAAAACTTACTATTTGAACAAAGGCACTCTGCCGTTGAATTTAGTTTATTATTAGTGAGCGGTAAGGGTAGCATTGCTTTTTATATTTGTTTAGCTATGAACGGTACTATTATCATTGCCCCAATATCATCGGTATATACGTCCATTACAATGAAGACTACACGAACTGTGCCTGTGCCACTATGGGAAAGATCATAGAAATTCGCAAATGATGAACTAATGATAACTCTTGCAATTCTGTTAAATCAATAGCTAAAATGAGAATCCATGGGTGCGTTTAGCGTCCGATAAATACCCGTCATAAGCGTACCAACTATGGAAACACCTGAAATTACATTTTTTAGAACTTCCATCAGGGATGAAACCCCTTATCGATAATGAGTAATGTTATTAGTGGCAACAATGGATGCTAAGTTCGAATAGTATTTCGGGTTGGGAGCGCAATGATGGCTACGTTGATCGACCGTAGCTGCGCAATAAGCTGAAATTATCAACTTAAATCAAACTTGAAAAGATCGCTGAGTCTTAAATGGGAATTAAATTCGAGGACATTGACTGAGAAGGTGAACAACATTACTGAGATGCAAAATGTCGACGCAATGTTTTGGCCTACCGATTGGCCAGCACAGGAATATATGTTGGCGGACCTGTATAAGGAGTCGCTTTTAATGCCTTAACTTCAAGTACTGGCAACTTGATAGTGTTAAGCTTGGAAAAATCGATTAGATTCAGCTAGAAGTTGTGTAGTTCGTAGTTAATAGAAGAGACCTAAATTTTTTTACGATAATGTGAACTTTCTTTTCGTTACAAGGGTGTTTCGTTATCGGCCGTTGACATTTCACTTGTAGGCGTCCCCACATGTCACAGTTGAGCAACGCGAGAAGGCCGTCAGCAAGCTCCTCCTGCCCAGGCACGTAAAAATCGATTACCTCTGTCTCTTAAGATAGCCTGCAGGACACAGGATGACACTGCCTTAAATGTTGCTTCCGATTTGGATCCTGTTTGATTGTCGCTACAACACATGTTGATCCACATTTTTGCTCCTAGTTTACGAGACCCAGAAGAATATATTTATGTAATTAGTGTGAGATTAGTTGAATCTCGGCGTTTCAATTTGAATAATAGAAAGGACAGCCAAGTATACATGTGAACACATGTAAATTAACGAATTTTATTGAAACATTCAAAAGGTATGAAAACGTTTCAAGTTAATGCACGTCGTAGAGGCACGCTGAAACCGAAAATTTCGCGCCTGACATGTGCGACTAGAATTAATTTCTAGCTATGCTAGAATGCGTGGCTAGATGACAACACCTAGCGGGATTGAAGAAAAAATTCCATCGAAGAAAAAATCAGTCAAACCCTAGGGCTCCAACTTTTATCTAGGGAAATCACTAGGCATCAAGCTCGAATAGGGTTTCATAGTCACGTACCTTAATTTGTTCAAAATATTTGTTCTGTTATTTCTTTTTCCCCCCTCTGTATATAGCTGTCGAAGGGCAGAGAGTGACGTCGTATTGTGTGACGTAGCTGGTACATCTCATTGTTCATTATCACCTCAACAACACCGGTAGCAATAGTAACGCCAATACACGCGGATATACGATGCTCCAAAGACAATGGCAATTGTACGTGCTGAAAGAAATCTTCTAGGGTTTCATCAAGACTACCACAAAAATGCTTCCCATGGCATACACACACGTTGGGACATTTTTACCCTATTTATTTTAGTTCGCTTAACGCACAAACCTTTTTATCAAATCAATACGAATTTACAATAAACAGTATCCTTTATTTTATGCATTCGAAGCGAAGTTACCCATAGGACAGTGGAAATGTCCAATTGCTTCCATAAGACGATCCTGGTGTTCAATAAGGTCCAGGTACGCTCACTACTCAGTTCTCTCAGTTCTAGCTGGAATCCTACCTCAGGAGTAGGTCAGTTCCTTTTTGTGTTTGTCCGGCGCATTTACACCCGCCTCTACCAACAAACAGATCGTAACGTTTCGGCGGTGTCGAGTCTCATTTATCAATTGCGTAGCACCTGATCGCGTGTCCTACCCCCTGGCTATGAATACTGCAAGTTATAATGGAAGCTAGCGGACCTGCTTTAGGGCACGAGAAGTTGAGAATAACCGACAGATTAGCTATTCAAAAAAGATGTAATCGTATAAGCACAGTGTATCTGTTTAAAGCTGTTGGCTATATTAGAACACATCCACAGAGATATCGACTACTCGACATGAAGAACCGTGTGAAATCTCAGCATTAAGCATCGCACGGTTTATGAAGGTACGAGCTGTAAACCTTGAAGAATCAACCCCATAATACTGGTCAGTTTTAGGGAAATAGGTAATGTCAACGTGCATCCTATCTATTATAGTTCTTCTCTCTCAAGCCGATTGGTCTTTTAGAATTATAAACTCAGAATAATGTTATTGCTAAGCAATATGTTATCGACATTAATCTTAGCAATGCTTGTCGAATATATCAGTAAAAGAGACAATAGATACTTTAATAAAGTAAACACATTTTTTGAAAAGGTTGTTATATTATATTACATATTTAATGGGTAAGTAAGTGGTTGATCCGTTGACCATTAGCTAAGGTTTCCAGCGGACCAACTCGAACTATTTCAGGATCGGATGAATTAAGAACGCTTCTTCTAGGAAGATTCCGTAAAGGCTGTCCAAAATGGAGTATGGCTTTTCCGGGTAGGGCGGATAGTCTGAAATCAACTTCTGCTGTTCTTTTACAACAAAATGAATTAACTAAGTTGATTTGTCTTTTGAAACATTTAATCATCGTAATAACTTCGACTACAGAAAAACTCATCAATTCGTCAAAGCGGATTTGTACAGCGTAAAAAGGTATTTGGAAACCATTAAATGCCATTTCGTATCAATGCCAACAGACAACAAACAGAACCTAAAAGATCTTCTATTCAAGGGCTTCATGAAGTACTAACAACAGATTTGCGTAGGACGAGTTCATACCATCTAGCATGAACATGGATTGTCAAATGTCGCTAGTTCTCGAATAAAATAATTCACTACCTAGATTATGTCTTTTGACTCAAAAAAAACCGCTGAAAGAACTGTTTCACTTACGAAGCCTCGGCAATTTATGGAACCAACAAAATGTGACCCCGCTCGAGATGGGTGTCGAAAAGGTCAACACTGTTAATGCGTTTTCGGAAACACAGATTCTAACTTTGAAACAGGACTATCAGATCTAACATAAATTCGTACTAGTAGCTGAATTTATTCCAGTGGTATATGACTTTTTGCTAGGCTTCATAGGCTATTGAAATTGCTCTGTTCAAGGACGCACCAAGGCAATTTCGCTGTAGTTGAAGCCCTCTGTTACCTTCACCATTCGAATAAATCACCTGCTCGGAAAAAATTATTTCTGGTACTCTGCCATTTGCCCCAGTACCATCCAAGACTCGATAACTGTTAGAAAAATTTGACATACATGATTACTGATAAATTGAAGAAAGTTGCCTATGTATCTGTACAACACTTGTCATAGACTATGTATTGAATACTACAACCATATCCATCGATAAAGCCATACTTATTTAGAGGTTTGTTTCAAGTTACGACTCTGGTCTTGAGACCAATTTTGAATCGGCGTCATGATTCCATACTTAATTTCAAGCATAAATACCTTAGTAACAGATGCTGGTACAATGAGTAGATGAATCTACAGAAATATCTAATGTTCTCTAGTTGGTAACAATTGATCACTGTACAAATGCGTAAAAATAAAAGGAAAAGATAAAGAAAATGGGAGAGTTGAACTATTCAAATTGAAAATCATCATAGAATCTATAATAGATCCACACGATTCCTGTAGGCTGAATCTTTGGCGCAAACTACCAAGGATCAAAGTCTGATATTTAACAACTAAGTAAAAATACTATCCACTGCGATTCGCTGCGCTAGAGGGTCAAGTCTTCCAAATATCGGTTAATGCAGCGTTAGGGAAATCATCGTAGCTAAAATGCAACGATTATCCCCGTCCTATGCTGTAACTGCCTTACGTGAGATAAATAATTGAGGAATTTGAGGTTTATAAGAAATTTCACTTTCTGCTACGAGGTCTTAAAGTTGTTTTGGTTGACAGCATACGAAGCTGATGTCTGCACAGTGATTTCAGAGAATTAGCCAAATCTACGTCGGATGAAATAAGAAATTAGAGCTTCACGCCATGCGGACGCGTCTGTTCTCTGTGTAAACTCTTCATGGTTCTGTCCTCCGGTGAGCAATTGACCAGTTCAAAATAAGCTATTTACTTAGTTGTTATACGTCGTTGGAAAGCTTAGTGCGGTGCGGTGCGGTGCAATGGCAGGGCAGAAGTGTATTTGGCCCTACAAAAAGTCAGAAGAATCGTCTGTCGTCGTTGTGAAATGAAAAACTTAATAAAATGTTTTTGAACTTAAAGCTCCTTGAAAATTACTGAACTTAGTACTTAAGCGGTTTGGACTAATTGGTAGCTATATCATTAACTGACATATTTTCAATATAAATATTCAACATTAATAATATTTTTGTGTAACGACTGCTGGTGCCGACGCATGGGGTCTTGAACTGTCAAAATCAACGATTCGCCATGAACTTGTCAATAGAGCCAGGGAACATTTTAAATTTCCAATTTGAATCTCTTAGAAGATGCGCAAATAAAAAAAGACGGCCTTTTTATAGACAAGAGTTTGCGAAAATCATAGGGTCAACTAAGGTTCTGAACATCAAATAACTTTTTTTTTAGCCTTTTTGTTTCAAAGTCCTGAAATTCCAATCAGTTAGCCTGTTCAAGCTGGACGCTTTGATGGCATGTGCCTTGGAAAGCTTCCTTCCAGAGATAAAGTAAAATTACTTATTACACATTTAAGAAAGAAGAAATTAGTGTAACAAATGATCCCCTCATTTGTAGTAATTCCTATGTCGAGTACACTCATTTTTATCATAGAGTTCTACGGAAGGACCCATTTGCGAGGGCTGGTGCTTTCGCGTTATTGAGTCATTGCAACCCGACTGGATAGTAAACTCATTGTAAAAAGGCTGTAACTTATCTCTTTTTTTTTCTCATATGGTTTTTTTGTTACACATTTGTGGGGAGATTTCATATTCCTTAAACAGTTCAGCAGTGAGTAGATACCAAAAAAGATCAGACAGGGAGACTGATTGTTGTTGGTCCTTGTGCAGTTCGTGAACCGATATCTCCCAAGTAGTGTTCAAAATGTATAGTACGTATCTAGATCGCTGCTGCTCGGCCTACCTTTCGCTTACTTGGTCCTATTAGAATTAGAACCGATTAGTTGGTCCAGCTCAACCTGGGAAGATAACAACAGGAACAAGTTTCAGGAAAAGTTTTTTTTTTAGCATAAAAGCGATATTTTCCAGATGTATGGTTTTTCAGCATAGTTTCTTCTAGGCAAGCAAAAACTTCGCATAAAGCATACGGAGTTAGAGTTGTTTTCAACCCAGTTTAGATGCTTTGTAGTCAATGATAAAGAGCATAGCTTGTAAGGTTGCCGAATGTTAAATAGATTTGTAGTAAGAGGGAAGGGTTGCACTCTTGGAGTGACGCACAAAAGAGGTGTTGTCATAAGATAAGAGTAGCTTTTGCGCTATAGAAGGACAATTTCGAATTAGTTTTTTTGGCGGGCGCGAATTGAAACAGTACAGCTCTGAAGTCGTGACCGTCGCTCGCCATCCTGCTTAATATAATCAGTCATTCATCACAGAGCCAGACTTCGCAAAGCTTCACTTGTGGGGAAACTGACACTCGACAGGAGATTTTGCGTAGCGCCTCACAAGAAAAATTCAGGTCATATGGCCATCGACGTGAGACGGATGTTTATGCTTTTCTATTATAAAACAAATGCTGATATCTAGCCTGTTATTTTATTAAACTTGATCGATCTCGACCTTTATCTTTGCTTATCTTTGAGTACACCTATTTGCTGCAAAAAAAAAACAAAAAATCAATCTTCATTGTTAAGCAGAATCTGAAAAAGGATGTCTATGTCTGTAGACATGTTGTGTATATTGTAAACATTGTGTAATGATAGAAAAGACTATCTATGTGACAACCTTGTCACACAGCTCGTGTGAATAGACAAGCTTATTTTTCTATTGATTTTACGGAAGTCAACGGCTTGATTGACAGTTAATTTCATTTTCCAAATAAAACTTGATAATTTGGAACAAACAGCCAAGTGAATTCCGAATTATCGATTCGCTTCCAATCTGATACCAGCAACCAAGAAACAATATTACTATGGATCCATAAATAATAACAACTTCATTTACCTAAGTAGATAGTGAACTTTATTGTTAGTTGATTTAATGGACCTCAGTCTTTTTTGTGAGTACTTGTCGCGTATCTCTGAGGAACTTGTTAGATAAATAGACCATCGTCTGCTTTGTTGTTGTTGTTGTTGTTAACGATGTTGTGTTTGCAACAATGTATACATAGAATCATCGGTTCCATCACTGCTGATATTAAGTTGTCCATTACAAGTTTACGAATAGCTCTATAATATAGCCTATTATTTTGTGAATAGAATTATTCTCCCTTGTGCTCTTTTCCACTTCCTCGAAACGATCTGAACGCACACAGCATGATGCGTTGTCAACTTCCGTTTCAGCGAAGTTTAACCGCAAACTATATCAGCAACACTAAGTTCCTATACAGAGAGAACTTTTGGAAGTACTCAGCCTCGCTTGAAAGGGCTATCTATTTGCTCGAATCGATTGTTCAAATTTCCCAAATTTTATTACACTGACAATCCTGGTGGAGGGTATAGAGATGGCGTGGACTGAATGGCCAATGTGCATCTATTTATCTTCACATCCGGTTATACACAGCGGCCAAGAAGACCGATTCTCGCTGTAAAACTGTTCGACCGCGGTCGTAATCCTTTCAACAAATAACAAGTCCCTTTTCCCATAAGGACAACATACATCGTGGGCCCATATTTTAGCAATCGACAGACCCTATAACCAACAACCGATGGACAAAAACATGGCTTCCATATCGGCGTAGACTCTCCGCAGTCTCAGGGCACTAGAGTAGATGTCGTGATCCCCCTGCCGGATGGCTTCAGTAGTAATACCTCGCATATAAAATCCGGGTTGATCTGACATGCTGGAAATAGAAGCTGACTATCAGTCGAAGGTCAAAAACCTTTTTCCTCTTGAGTGCGTTGTCATGCTAACGATAAGCATAAAGTTATCGCCCATTCGAATTCAGCGTTAATACATACTTTACCATGGGGTATCATTACTACGCTGCTTTATGGATCTGTTAGAGAAACCTCAGAAAAGTCGAACGAGATCGACCACTACTGAACCTTGTAATGGAGGCGAGCTTTGTTTGATGTTAATATCGTAGAGTAAAATCCCAGGGTTTACTCACATAGCTCAGGCGTTACAAAACAGGCTGATTGAAAACAAGGAATGTTATCTGTTACCTTATATATCTGGCATATATTCTGCGATAATAGAACGATTTTATACGAGTTGTACGTATAGGAGAGATTCTTTTATGATTCTCTTCCCGTTGAAGGCGTTTATTTCTCTAGCTAAAAGTAAAGACGACTCCGCAACAGCTTATGCATACATTGCGCCGTCTGCTTAGTTAAAAATGAAGCTGAAGTAAAGTGGTGCCCCACGAGGATTGAAGGCGTAAGAAGTGTGCACGATGACTACGTTACGCTGGCATTGAAGTAATCCATAACGTTCAAACGACACTACATCGATTGTTTGTCTTCTTTCCTCTTAAATGTGTGGTGCTTTGAGACGATCAGCCACCATTAGAAGGTACTCTCGTTTCGCTGCTACCTTATTAACACATAATCAGTATCTCCTCTACAACAATATATATATATATATATATATATATATATATAATAGCATTATACTAATAAGAATACCGATAAATATACGAGTCTATAATTAGTAACTATTTCTCACCCTTGCTCTGTCAACTGTTGTGAGTAAACAAGTTAAGTTCATTTTTCCTATAATTGTCATTAGAATTTCTATATAGTGGCGTATTTAATTTGATACCTGCTTGTAACTGTGTGAAGCGCGCGCCATCTTGTGTGATGTTACGAAATGTGTTATGTATATGTCTGGCTGTACCATTATATAGTACAAATAATCATAGTGATAATGATGCTGATATGTGGGGCTGGGCTGGCGAGGTATGGTGGCAAGCTTGTAGCGTAACTAACCTTACGGGGCCGAATGATTCTTTTTTGGCAATAGTTTTCTCATTAAACAGTAATAACGGTGCTGCTACGGATATTACAATTTCGTCGCTACGATTTCCCTTTATTTCTGAAATGTTTATCGTTTCAGTAGCGGTTTATCGGCACCGTATAATTCGTTCGATGATTAGAAGAGATATTTTTCTCCGGATATTCAAATATTCTTTGTCATGATTTGAGATGAGAGGGTTCATGAGACAATTGATGACCACAACGATGAGAGACTTTCTTGCTTGTGTTTTCCCGCCGAAACAACTGTAAACATACGAATATTGGACACCTTCTTCGAATTTCAGCATTCTTCGTCAGCTATTTTCATTTCTCCGCCCATTACATCCGCACTAATGGGTCGAACTTATATCATCACCACCATCAACGATAGCAGATAACATAGTTTTATTTAGTTCCAAACGTATGCCACGACTCAACCTGCTAGCTTCGATCACCTTCATCTCGATGTTTTTCTAATCGTGCGCTTATACTATAGTATTTCCTTGACTTTGGCCATTTCTCTATCATATTCACGTGATCATTCCCCAGACGTTTTAGCTTTGATTCTCGTGTTGGCTTCTAAGCGCCTTGTTAGAGAAGCATCCGTCCCTTTCTCCAGATAAACGGCGATTCTCTGCCGTAGCGAAGATGAAATCTATACTGTTTTACAGTCCATTGCGAATAGGCTGCAGCCATCCGATCGATAGTTTTCGGCCATTGTAAAACGCATTATCATGCTGGATTTTCACCCCTCGAACCAACTTAGTCTCCGTTCCTTTCTAAAGTGCTGCTGTAGCTTTCTGTACTCGTCTCTCAAGCAGTTACAGACATTGCTACGGATACACGATGCTTCGTGTTTGTCCTCAACAGGGGTCGCTCAACAGCGGCCGTCAAAAGTCGCCTGGGATCTTCTGTCCTGTTCGCACAAAAGCGCCTGTGATCGCTGCTGTGCAGTTGCCTAGCCTCCATTTAGCTGGACCAGCGACTCCCTAATGGAAACGTGCGTGCCTAGAATTATAGCCGTTAGCCAGATCAGTTCGCTTGATCAAGTCAGCCGCACGAAGCTAAGGTCCATTATCATGAACGCTTCGTCGACTTAATCTTGTTCTTGAGTATGGCCCCCCCAGTAATGCCAAAGGAATTAATCGCTAATTCCAGTAAAATAAAAGGAGGCGTTATGAATTGGCATTAGTTAGCAACATATATCGAGGTTTCGAACAAGGCCCCTTGAATTTGCCTCTTAAAAACGGTTCCAGTAAATGTGAAAAAGGTATCGACAAATTTTGTATAGAAGTCCCGACGATGATCAAGACAGTAATATATATAAGTTAGCTTTGCGTACGTTGAGTGTTTGGATCTAGACATCGGCGTACGTACGGAGATCTTTCTTATTAAACAATAAGAAAATGAAGCCGTAAGTATACAAACGGAGATTTCATGATTACGGATCACGGTTTTCGTAGTAGAATCCGAAGAGGTTTCAGAGTCGGAAATTGCGAGCTACTTCAGGCCGACAGTTGGCTGAAAAACAAATATATTAGAAAATCTAATTAGGCATCTAATTATATTGACACAAATAATTGTACTAGAACGTTTTCTATTTACCTAGATGGGCACTGGAAGAATCGCACGAAGAATTATCTACTAAAGTCATAATCGCTTCCCATCAAATTTTAACAAAACTGAGCCAGAAGTAACCACCATCTAATGGGGCAGTAACCACCAAGGGCGGCATATTATGTTTCGAACAATAGACCCTTAGCAAAGTTTATGAAAGCTCCGAAAAGTTCTGCAAGTGCTCACTCGTGATGAGTGGAATCAGGATAAAAGGCGCACTAATCGCACAAATCTCTTGTGCTTTTCACTTAGATCTTTTCCCAGACAGGCAAAGGGCCATGTGCAGTCCTCAAACATTTGGCGACATACTCCCTGCCAATACTGAATAGCAGATCTTTTGCCAAATCTTAAGTTAATACAACAATGTGTTTAGCAATCTTTTTTTTTTTTTTTTGACAATCAAGTGTCAAACAGTCATTTCATACGCGAATAACTTTTGCACTAGAACCTATCCGTGTACGTTTATGAAATTGTTTCTGATTTTCAAGTTCTTTCTCCGGTAAATCATCTAAAATCCATGGCTATAGAGAAGGGGATAAATTACATGCTGTGTAATAATGTAAATGATACCATTCGCTATAAATATGTTTATTTATGGGTGATGAATAAACATATTTATAGCGGGATATAAATCGCTATCAAATGTTAAAATTGTCGATCTAGACGTGTCCCGAAGGAACCAGAACTATCGCGCGAAAGAAAACGGGAACGCTTCTAACACATCATGTTAAATCTATGATACGATCAATAAGAAGATTATAAAAAATACAATTCTCTAATATAATTTCAAAACAATTCCGCGATAACAATGCCAAAGTAGGTAGAATTGATTTTCTTAGAGCGAAATCGAGAGGCCAATATCCAACGGGTAGTAGGCTTTGTTTTTGCCCATAGCAGTGTCGAATCATGGGATAAATGTTCCAAGTCGTAAGACGGATCTTGCGGTGATCTTTGAACTATAAATGACAGCGAGATTTGTCCTGTCAGAGCCTGTTAATCCTGTGATTTACGCAACGTCACACGTGGACAATTACACTATTTCGATTAAAAATTATATATCCAATTTTACTGGAACTAATTCCCGTTTAGGTGCCGCTTGTTCCGAATAGTCCAGTTCTATTTTACTTTGACTTCTTCTGACTATATGTTAATTCTACTTTGGATGGCACTACGCGAGGAGAGTATACTAAATATCGAAAAAAAAAATACTTCAAAATTTACCACTAATATCTATATCAGGATTTTTACCAAGATTTTTAAGAAAGCATAATACTAACCAGAAGCAAGGGTCCGCCATGTTCGATTTACACCCACACACAGACACACAAACACACACACACGCCTACTCGCCGTACGTATTTACAGTTCTTGAAGATTGTCGCACGAACGGCTCTTAATATGTTCGCGTTGGCCAAACAGTTTTTCGAAGAAACACCTGCAAGATCAGCGTACAAACAGAACAGAATATGAACACACGAGAAAAGGGTTAGCTATCAATATCGTCACAAGCATTGGGAGACGGCGGGAAATAAAGGTAGGTATGAAAGGAAAATGATCCTGGATACGTCCTGCTGCCCGTCCAGACCTGTATATTCAGATAGAGAAATGGGCGCTTTTATGTGTTCAGTACTAATTTGCGTCTTTCAACTGCATTTGCACGCCTCCGAACAGCTTGACCTGTCGAACTGTTTCGCCCATCCCACGCAGAGCCGACGGACGTCTGTCCAACTGAATAGACCTTCCTTCACCACTGTTCCCCAAACAATTTGTTGTTAGCCATTGGAATTCAGTCGCTTAAACGTACGCGTTACACAGCCGGAAAGTTGGATTTTGCTAGCATGGCGCCCTCTTCATCAGGGTTTGTGAGGATGGCCATTTCGGATTTGAATGGATGCAGCAGTTTTCGGATTACTGAATTATATCTGATGTCATCATGTAAACCATGTTAGTATTTTGGTCGCCGCAACTACAACTTCATTAAGTTATTCATTAAGATATCGAGTCAAGCCGAAGGAAGGTCAGTCAGAACAAACTAACCCAAATCGAGACAAACACTGACCACAGTCTATGTTACGCTCGGTCATCGGAACGACATGTCGGAACCTCAAAGATGGTAAATACTCGATAATAAATAAAAAGGCTTTCGCTTTATTACTTACTAATGCATAAATTAGGCCTTGACCAGCTGCGCTGATCACGCGCTTTAACGTGCCTAGAAAACTCGTGCCGGGTGAAGTTAGCTTTGTGGCTGTCATGCCTAAGGTGGCTTTTCTCAAACCATCACCAGAGCAGTGAGAGATGCTATATCTAGATAATACTAAACGCCTTTCACGTTAGCTCCATATGTATCTGTGGTAGATAATGAAAATGTATAAAAGTATCCTAGTGGGGCAATAGCAGACATTTTCTGTCTAGCAAGTTCTTCAACGATGTTATGGGCCCATAACTTTTAATTTTGGCTTCTGCTATGTTCATATAAGAAATGCGTGCTTTTAATTTATCTAATCTAATCTTCAGCAATTTTTTTACGAAGCAAGGATTTACCCGCTATTCAAATGAGATGGGCTCTGTAATCGAGCGTAATCGTAAGCTATATTAGTCAACTAGATGGTATGTGTCGTATTTGAAGAACTATTATAGAACGCAATAGAGACAGAGGTAAAGCAACGGCATATTTTCAAATTGTAGTTATTATTTCAATTTATTTATTTTCCAGCCCTATTTAATTGTTGCCTTCTTGATACAGCTCATCTTCCGGGCATTTCATTGACGGAACATCAGTGCGCCTCTTGACCCAATATATTTCACCGCTTCTTGATAACCGTAGTATAAAATTATATGTTTTGCCCCAAACAGATAGAGTCGCAGAACTCTTTACAGAAAACTGAACTGGATCTTCCTGGTCGTGACTAAAGAATCTACAATGGTGGGCGAAGACGAAACGTTTATGTGTACTCCATGGCAAAACAGTTTCGTAGGCTAAGTGGTTTCGGCCTTGTTATGTTTCGTCGCTGTGTCCGCTGTGTCCAGTCCAGGTCAAACGGTAATAGGGTTGGCAAAAAGCCCCATTCGAGCGTGATCTGATCAACCTGGTTTAGGTACGCCTTTTTTTCGTCATTTAAAATTAGAAAAGAAAAGAAAGACAGGATACACATTACCCTTTTGAGATCATATCATATTGGGTCGTCCGCTGCTTTTAGCTCGATGTCTGCAGGAGAGCCGCATCTTCAATGCATGGTGCATATAAAGCGGCAAACAAAACATATATTTCACCTTTTTTATTAGAGCAAGCCTCTACTTTTTGCACTAGCAGTTTTTGTTTCTTTAGTATTTAACTTTCAATACTGCTCTATCATGCTGCCGTACACAGAAAATTGCACAATACGCAAATAGAGTAGCTGTTTAGAAAGTTTCTGTAAAAGTCTCATGCAAACACCTCGATTAGGTCGGCACGTCGAGCAAAATCTCTTGGAGTACGTAAAAGCTCTTGCGACATGTCCAATTTTTAGCTGAACAGGTGCATCTGACATGGTAATGCAAATCATAGGGCTCCGCACAAGGCGGATCCATTGCCTTCCTTGCGGTTTTTAATGCAATTTATAAGTTTTTTTTCCCTAAAAACAAGAAGAACACTTTTACTACAGTAGAACTACACAGTTATCATTTAGAAACGAAATAAATTAAATATTGAATAAAAAACATTTAACAAACCTTTCGGATTAGTGCGCCTCTAATTCAATACATACCCTCCCATTGCAACATTGCGAGGACATCTAAGGATTCCATCCACGACAAACTAATCCAAACAAAAAAACACCAATTAAAGGCTCGTGAAACAAATTATGTTCCAAAAGAGGTATAGTTAGGTTTAACTTTTTCACCGCTGTTCAGCCCAGAGGTCCATTTATCGTCAGTATCCAAAGAAGCGTTGCCAGCCATCTACATATATTTGACTTAGTCGTTTGTATTTTGTTCGAAAAAGTTTATATTTGCTTTGCAAAAACAGCATTGAAAGGCGGGCTGTTTGGATCTATCTTCACTCCTGAATGTCCTCACGTCAGATTACCCTAATTCCGCTCTGTATCTTCATTTTAGTTCTTCGCATCTTTATATTACCCCGTTCTTAGCCTGCCTCAGCAAGTTTCCCGGCATCGGTTTCTACCCCGGCTAGAATCCGAGATGGGACTTATTCGAATCGTTGAGATACGAACGTCTCGTCGCAGAAGAACAGACCTCATTGTTTTCAGCTTCGGCAAATGAGGTCGACGAATTAAAACGCGTAATTGGCTGCGAAAACCGTTCGGAAGTTTGTAATCCAGCCGACGTAGCCTCGTCCGTGGTCAGCCAGTCAGATAGCCACATTGAGGTTTATCACCATAAAAAGGCCGAGAGTATTTTTTACGCCCTAATCATCTCTTTCTCTACTCGCTTTTTTTTCTCTTTCCATTAATTTCACCACGTTACGTCTTCATAAAGGACGCAATTCTATCAGACTATTCCTCGACCATAGATATTTCGCTAGAAATGGAGCGTGCACAGTTGGAATCCACACGATGCGAGAGCCGTCAAAGAACAGCTGGTTTGAGGAGCTGAAAAATGCTTTCAATTAGGATTAAGTTGTCATGATACGTGGGTGACGAGTCAAACTGTCTCTGCCAACGTAGAGAGGGATCTTGCGGCCGGTATCATTCCGTTTTAGGAGCTGACTGATCCTTTTAGGTGCTCTTGCGCTTGTAAATGGGTCCATGTAATAGTATCTCTATGTGCCTTACTTTCATATACGTTGCCATTTTACAGCGAAATCTCTTATAGGAATTTCCCTATTATGTAATATACGTAATAAGCATATATGGTGACGCCCCCCACAAAAGTTGATCCTCCTCTGCTCGGATGTACTGATAGAAAAACAAAGTGATACAAACATCAAAACTAATCAGAAAGAAACATTTTTGGATAACGACATACGTAACAAGCAAGATGAGTGGAGATTGTTTTCGAACGGTGCAGGCTTCGTTTTATTGTACATTTTGGAATTAACTACTAACATAGCTGATTGTATGTGCTTCAGTCATAGCTGGAACTCGACTTCAGCCTCTGGTACACTTTACGAAAAACATCGTTAGCTCAAGATCTTTTAGCATACGTTCCACGATACGTCTCCCAATACATCGAGTCGCTGCCGAATATCGCTAAAAATAGTCGCATGATTATTGTGTGTGCCGTAGTGATGATTGGCTGCGGATAATATCAAGCTGTTTAACCTTTAAAAATAGATAATAATCAAAGGAAGTTTGAGCCAACTGAGTTAGAGTGATGATGTAATAAGTGTTAGAGATGCTCTTCTTTATTTTTCAGATACTTTTCCCAGCGCTTCTGAACAGCCACAGACCGATCATTCGTATCTTCACGAGTAATTTTTCTATCCATGGCTTTTCAAAGTAAGCTGAGAGCGGGATATGCTTGTCCACCAGTCGCTCTTTCGGGCATGAAAAGTTCCGTAATCACACTTACTTAACTTAGGAGAATTAGAGGATTGAAGTAAAAGGTGATATTGTTTTGGTTGATTCAGGAAGTAATTGAAACATGGCGATGAGTTCTAGTGTTTTCATCGAGTGATCAGACTGCACGGTTGAACAACTGTTCATCAACCGAATTCGATTTTCTTCGGGAACAACGTCATTCTATTCGTTTATATCTGTCCAGCTAGCGGCCGTGTACTCTATGCGAGTTCTTTGTTGATCAGGCACTGTTTTCATGAAAAGCCTCCTCAATTGTGACAATGCCCTAAGGCCCCGACGTCTAGTTACTTCCTCGCTGGCCTTCTGTACTCTAATTTTCGTTTCTAAAACGTTTGTACCACTTACGTAATCTGCATTGCTTATATTTTCATCGGTCTTCGATTAATTTGTGCAGCGCTATTGCGTGCGAGGAACAAAAATTTGACCACCAAGCATTGAATATCGAGGCTGTTTCCCCTTCTGAACTCACTTTTCCTAGAGTAAACTCAACCAGCTTTCTTTTAGAATATTGGGTATTTACCAGCCGAATCTCGTCGTCCAGCGATGCGTAATTAAAAAGTTATTAAGTTTCCAAGTCCCTCGAACTCGCCGGTTACAGCTTAATACATTGTTAAATAAGTAATGTTGACTCACCGCAGCGTTGACACTGATTGTAAAATAACATTTTAGCATAACGCGATTTAATACTACACGTTTGGTGGATGATTCTACTTTGATCGAGGAAAGTCCTCAATTTACATTCTTTAAGCCTGAGCCGATCCTTCGCGTAAAAAAACACCTGGTGTCGGTTTGCAACGTCCTCAGGATTTGGAAACAAAGTAAGTCAGAAGGGTTCTAAATAGTACTGTTTCCCGGGTTCCCGGATTATAATCATCCTGGAAACTGGAGTTACTAATAAAAGCGCCGATTATGCTGTAAAAAACAGATAATATAATTTGTTAAGCACGCGTTGTATAGGCATGGACAGCGGGATATTTGCATTGTCTGCTATCTAGGCTGAGCAGAAAAAAGTGTCTGGACAGCATGTTTAGTAAGTTTTATCGTCGTCAGGCATTTTGGAAGAATGGCAGTGCGGTGATGATTCCTTGCGAAACTTTGTCCTAATGGCTTGGCCTAAGTAGTGTTTTTTTCGGATTTATTCAGCGAATATTTTTACGACTATGTCCTTACCTTGTACGAGACTAGAATCGACGGTAGAGTTCGAAACGGCCCATACTTTGATGATGGAATTATTTGTTTTTTGCTAGCACTACCATCTGATGTCCTCTATGCCTGCAAGATCCTTTAGTGTATTCGATTATGTACTGCATTTTGTGGTCGAACCACATTTCCTCTAGCAAAAATGTCCGGATAGCCTTACATTACAAGATCTCATAAGTATCTTTTCTATTTTTTTATTACAATCGGTGAAGACGTCTAGCTAAACACGAGCTCTTGGCCCTGAAGGATAAAACAGTTCGAAACACCTTTGATGGCTACGTTGATCGCCGGCACTTGTGCCGAGGTATATAATGATGTTGAACGAGCACATTTTTCATCTGAATAAAATTGCTGTACATAAACCATCATCATGCCATATGGTGGAGATACATCACTCTCGTAAAGAATGACTATATGTTTGTAGAGGCAGAGTTGGTAATAGCAGTAATATAATATAGATTATAGCTGAAAAGCTGTGTGGATTCTAATCACGATAATGCTCCTCCAGCTATTTTGGCTTCGAAGGACGGCCACGTCCCCGTGACAGCTAGTAAATAAAACACACATTTGCTATCTGTATTACCATCACGATTATACGTTGAGCGGGGCGAAGGGGTAAGTAACTCACCTCAACGAAACTGTGGTAAAATATTCAATACGATCTCTCAAATAAATTTTCGAGATACCGATCCTGCGGGCTTTAAGGCTGGAAATCGAGGATCGATTTCTGTTGGTCGGCTGCTTCTGTAAATCTGCGGCTGGCTGTAGCTAGTCGCAAAAACGAGTCCTGGGTATCTAAAGATACATATTTGCGTCCAAACCCTATCTATGAAAACTAGTCTATCTTTAAAAGCAATAGCTATTATTACAAATCCGTCTGCACAGGCTGTATGGTATTTTTCGCAGTTTAACCGCTAGTGTTACTAGAATCATGGACTGCTTTCTTCAGATAGGACCATTATTATGTTGTCGTTCCTAGCTCGATATCGCTACGACTGATCGTCATAATGTTTATTGAAGCCGTACCATTTATTCGGTAAAAACAACGCAAATGACTACTTCTGCTAATTGGGTAAATTAGTGATTCGACGGGCAGCAAGACGTCAACAAAGAATTGCGCATCCGCAACGGCATTAGCACGTTGAATCTCATCATTCTTCTCCATGCCATGAAGTAGCCATCAGTTTAAGATGTATTTCTATGAGAGTTGGCTTGGAAAGTTTTATTCTGTATTGTGACCTATAGCAGGGCCGTAGGTTATAACACCGTAGGCTATTATAGCAGATGAATATCTATAAATACCTACCTGGTACGATTGCCCAAGAACATTGACGTCTTCGAGTGTCTTCGCTTGCCGTGCCCATGGCCGTGACCGGTCTGACCAGATTCCTTTTTGCTGCTGTCACGGGCGGCGTCCCGCGCCTGCTTGGCCTTTAGCTTGATCTGTGTAACGAGTCCGACGAGCAGTTCATCGACATTATGCTTGAGGCTCGCCGAAATCTCGGAGAATTTACACTCGTATCGGCAAGCCAAATCTTTGGCCTCTGCAATACTCGCAGGAATAACGAGCATATGCTAACGCGACGATAAAGTAGAAACGTGCAGTAGTTGTAGCAATGATCCGATTGTGATTCATTTCATGCTAGAGGCCATCCGTCAGACCGAACGGCTAACGAGGAAAGATTTGGTTTTAGTAATAATAATGCCGTGTTTAGTTTAAGGTAAAGAATAGGACCCACTGGGAGGAGTCAACCTACATAAGAATGCAACAGGTCTTCGATATTCTTCCTGAAGTAAACCACTATGGATAGAACATATGCTTCCACTCGCTTAGTAGTTGAACAATCTTAAGTATGTTATTACATTTCATTGGGCTTTCTCTAGAGTTCACAGTGTTCTTAGAGTAATTGGCGACAAATTGTAATAAGTAACGTAAAACACACTGACACTTTATCGATCTAAGATTTGGATCGTGTTTGAAAGGTAGCCAATTTGATTAGAAAACTACCCGTTTCGATTTTTGACCATTTCGTTAGAAAAGATGTCCGATTTGATCTGCAACACATTTTGATTAAGAAGGAAAACTATACTTATACATTATGGCTCGATAATTACGGATACTGTCCATGACGTAGACGGTTTTCTTTCCGACACCCAAAATTCGTAGAAGTGTAAGTTTCGATAATAAGTTCGAGACAGTGCCGTTATAGAAACATAGCGTACATTTTCCACTGTTGGTGTGACGGACAAACTACAACGAACATTGTATAGCTGCTATAAACTCTAACAGGAACACTTCTCTGTATTTTTATCATTGATATGCACTTCGTTGAAATAGCACTTGAGTCCCGTTGCAGTGTTTTCGTCAGAAAAACACATAGCCAGTACGCTGAAATAGGGCAAAGTATGCCACTATATACATACATGTATTTTATCGAAAGGGCGGTATGCAATAGGCTCACATCATCTGTTAACTACCATTCGGACTGCTACAAAATCCTACTTAGAAAGAAAGATGGCCGCGTTTCTCTGACAGTTGTCGACGTCGACCCAATCCGTACGAATTGCAGTGCAGAAACGATCTGCATATAGACTGCCGAAATCCGAAGAAAAAAAGCTTTCTTTTTTTGGAACGTGGTCCATAACGGTACGCCGGACTGAACACGTTTTCTCATTGAGTGTGCGGCACCAAAGTTTTGTCAAGTCTGCTTACCACTACGAGGGATCGTGCTCTTTCACATTAAGCGTTGGTGATTGGTATAAGACGAGTGGGTCACTAATAACTGTTCCTTTGGAACACTGCATGAGAGATTCACTGGGACCAGATGATATTCGTAGATCTTGTAGCTCAGCTTGTTTACAACTGGCACAAAGGTAGGAATACACCTTGCACTAACGGTGGATGCACTTCTAATCTGTCTAAATCGATAACAGGCTATACGCAAATAGATTCCGCAGAAACCGTACCTTGCGAAAGAATGGCTGCATGGAATGTTATTCAGCACATTGTCTCCTCAAACCGTAAACTCAAACCGAGTTAGGAACCAGGTACCTCAAAGATTACTGGATTATATCAACACAAAAACGCGATATGGCGGAAAAAATTACAAAGCTGGTCTTGTCGCAAAGGGTCACAATGCCCGCTCAATTGTTGTTGTTTAGTAATCTGGAAAAAACGATAAATACTTTTTTGTCTATGGATACATTTCTAGCAGAAAAAAATTAAAAATTCGAGGCAAATTGGGTCCATATGAGTTAGATGTATTAGCATTATTCTTATGGTTGATTCGATGGAGGAACTCGACAAAAAGCGGGTGGAGTGCAGTGTAAAACACTATACGCCTTTCTCATCCTCTCCTCTGCGCCAAAGGTCGCATTTAAAATAATTGATGAAATCTGTTAGGCAATATGACTTCACTGCACGTTATACTTCGCTCCACAATGGGTCTTTATCCTTCTGATTGAGTGGCATGACTAGCTTATCCCGAAGGGTATAGTTACCTCTGTGTTGACTACCAGATCGACAACCGATGTTATTCATAGCAAAAACTTTCAACGTTCCATGACGTAAAAGTCGCCCTGGTCCCTCAACATATATACAGGGACCAAAACGCGATTCGCGCCTACGTTCCTTGTATAATGACCGATGCCATTCTCTGATCACAACTGTGACCATTCGTTTTTAAAAAGTGCCCTGCTTCGCCACCAGGAGTCATTGTTTCCTTTGCCGATCGATGTGGCCTACGGAACATAGGCCTACGGATAAGCTTAGCTCCGCAGAACTCCTTTCAATGAGAAGAAATAGCCAACTTTGTCACCCAAACCCACCCGCATTATCGGCTTGAACAGGATCCTGTAAATGTTCGTTTGAAAAATTATCTCCTCCTGATGCCTCGACTATCTGCCTGGTTCCTCGCAGTCTACCAAAGTGTTTTGTAGCCGCCGTTAGGTTGACTACACGTTTACGCAAAACGTGGCAGGCGGTGTATTGTTTTGTTATATATGCTGCGCTACTGCAATAACGCCCCTGCTACTTAAGCCATGGCAGCAAAAATTGCACTGAACCCCCAGTGAAATTAGCGTGTAGACGGGAACGTCGAAAGCTTGCTTCAGCATAGAAAAATGACGCAACGTTGCGGACGACCTTCTGCTGGAGGGTTAAGATTGCTTGGACACAAAACTATAAATGGGGCTTTGACGATATATTCCGGCGGTGGGAATTGGAGGGTGGTGGAGTTGAAAGGTGAGCCATGCCAGGCCTGGCTAGAGTCACATAGCTCACTCTGGAATCACCTGAGGTTAATCAAATTTAGCTTTGTCTTACGCAGGGTATTGTCACAGCTTGCCTATGGACGAATGGCCGTCGCTTTCAGCCATGTGTACATTCGAAGTTCGTACGTCACGAGACAGAAATCCACCAGTTAGCACCGGATCCTGACAAATGAGGACTCCAAAAACGAATGGGTTTCGTTTATTTAAAGAAGTGAATAGCGATCTAGCTTGCTATTAATGAAGCTTTTGCTGAATGCTGACACGTGTCGCAAGTCAAGCTCTGGAAGGGTGTTATTCCTCCGTAAGGAAGGAGGTTTCTTCATTTTTTTCTATATGTAGTGAAGACACTAATTGAGCTGTGCATACTAGATTTCCAAAAGTATTTTTCTTCTAATGAAAAAAAATACGTCGGCAAAATGTCTCTCCAGTTATATCGTATACGTTAGAAATATGTTGAAGTTAAGACCAGTCGACAGCACTAGAAAGAAATGATCCTTCGTGTTAGTTTGGAGAACTACTTTGCTCTATGTCTTCTACTAAAGTACCTCTTTTCCGATCACGATTATTGGATTCCTGAAAAAGTTTACGGATAGGACGTGTCTAATCTCTTCAGACCGATGACCGCTTGAGACCCTTCTCCTTTTCTATTAAATTGTGTCCAAACGCTATGGGTACCACTCTATACAACGTCTGTAGCACGCTATTGCAGTTCCTTTGGCACACCTAAGTCACCTTAGTCAGCTGTATTTAGATTTATATTAGCTGTACATATTGCTCAGGGAAAAATTATCCTTTTCAATGTACCGAAGCCAACAAAACATGGAACTACGGTGGTACCTTCGAAGAGTTAAAACGAAGAAACAGTTTAAGGTACTTACGACTTTCAGACACCTCTCTGGAGCGTACTAGCTCGCTTTTGTTTGCTACGAGTATTACCGCTCGATTTTGAATATCTCCTCGTGCGCGAAGCTTTTTAAGAAGGTTTTCCGCCGTCTCGAAAGAAGAGGCGTCCGTAACCGAAAACACAATCAAATAGGCAGCTGCTCCACTGCCGTTATCATCAGGAGCGCTAGGATCCTGAAAAGTTGGAAAATTCCATGTCGATGAATCTGCTTAGGAGAGGCGAAGGTACAAAAATGCTTATAGGGTACGAGAAACTTTTCAAATTTGTCACCTTAGTATATATCAAAAAAGGTTTTTTGGTGCAACATTGTAATGGCGCTTCCCCAACCTACGAGTACTCACTAAAAAGCTAATATATATATATATATCCAAAACCGCAAAGAACAGCCTGTCTGAAAACTACATTCGAGTTCAAATGTGTAATGGAAGATAAAGTATAGTATAAGGTAACAATAAAACAAACAAACAAATAAATAATCATGAGAAAATAACATGTTGTCTTAGATAAGCTCTGCTCTTGATTTTGTGAATTGTTTGGTTGTTTTTGCTACATATATGTGATATATACGTGTATGCTTGACTGGATGTGATAGATATATATTCTAATGTAGGCGTAGCCACTAGGAGTGTCATTACTTCTACAGGAGAAAAATGAACCAAGCCGTTATGGAAGAATTTCTCATTAATATAATAAATAGATGATAACTAGCAAAAAACCTTCACAATATCAAACCGCTTAATTTAATTTTACATAAGGATGGAATGTTACATTCGCAGGATAAACGGTTTTATTACTACCCGCCACAACTCCTATTGAAGCTTTCGATTAAATTACTACTCTTTTGCAAAAAATTGCAAGAAAGTTTGTAAATTTTCCCTAGGCGAACCCTATATAGGTCTATGTGCTTGTAGGATACAGCCGCGGCAATCCCTAAATTGTAGTGAAAATATTTTTTAGAAGGAAAAAGACGCGTAAGCGTCACCGCGTTAAAATGCAAGGACGTAAAAATCGAATGGCTGAATTTATTCACCGGGTAATACACTTGACCGCCGGCGCTGGTCCTATCCTATGGCCTGAGCTGAAAGAATTGACTGCGGGTTAGAAGCCATTCAATTAGAAATAACCCTAAGTGTAGCGTCAATGAACCCTACCAAATGAGAAATTTAAGAAACTGTGTGTGTGAATTTTCAATATTTAAGACGCACCATAGGATACGTTCATATAATCGCCGTTATTCAAAAGACATAACTTATTATGTCGAGTATACTCAAATGTTGTTTAGGAGTGAACTCATTCCTGGTTCGCTAAGAAAACCTTTCTTAAGTTATTTATTAGTTATATTATATATATAAGCTTTATATCTCCAATTATGTGACTGTTGAGCTAAAACGATACATGAGTGTAACCGATACCCAATAAAGTTTATTAGGGCTAATTAACTTTTCTCTATATTACGTGTTACAGATTCATCTGGTGGAGTTGAAGTTTTAAGTGGAGACTTAACCCGTCTGACATCTGCCAGAGTGAATTATTAATTGACTATAGGACATAGATGTGAGACGAATAAACTGTCGACGCAACGGAACCTCGCTACGGACTGAATTGGGTCGCTAGCATACACTAAATAGATGAGGTTTATTTGGCAAACAGAATCTATAGATTCTCAAAAAGACAGAAAATTCGCGTGAGAATTACCAAGGGAAATTGAAAATGATCCCGACGTAAGCGTCACGTAAACGAAAACAAAGCCACTTCATAACTATAGCGCTAAATCTGTTATAAAATTTGGATAGAGTATTAGGCATGGAAAACGTGAGGCCGAACTGGACGAACGTCTTTGACAATGAGATCTAGAAAGGACCACACGAAGCTGTGTAATGCTTGTCACATTTATATAGATTATAGCGGCTCAGTCCACTCAATTGAGGAGCAATTGGTTATACCTTTCGCTTGCAAAAAACACGCTTCACGTGTTTATTTGTAGGCATATGAAAAGTAATGTCATACTCATAGGCGCCAAACGATGCAACTCTTGTCCAAATACACAGTTCCATTGTCCCTAGCTGTGGCTATGGACTCTGAGTCTACTGGTTTATAAACGAATTATCATCTCCTTCGTTTACAAGAGAGTGAAGATGTGAGTTCTCAACAAAATATCCCCAAACACGATATTGGTTTTTTGTTTGTTTGTTAAAAGTTTGTAATTGAGGGAAAGAAAGTTAAGAAAAAAAGAAACGCGCCTACTTCGCTACATTGGAATATGCTAGGCTTACAGAAAAGGCCTTCTTCGCAGGTGCACTTTTTATAAACCACGATTCTCGGCACAGCTAAGTCTCCGAAGATACGTTCGTCTAGCGAATGGCAAGGTTGCCGTATAAGAAACGCTTACTGCAAGTAAAAAAAAAACATTTTTTTCTTAAATCGATATTTTTTGATTATTTGACCCTAATTTGATTTATCATAAGACTCGCTACATTTGGATTCGATAAATTTTCCTATGTTGAATCGAAACGTTTACTTGTGTTATTTGGATGTTTCTTTCATAAACAGTATATTCAGTAAGTTACGTTTTGTCTATAACTCGAATCGTGCTATGGAAGCCGTTCGATAAAAAAAACGTTACTAAAAACGTTATGAATGTTAAAGCAATTGTAGATTTTTCAAAAATATAGAAAAAAAATTACACAATTACCGAACGCTTACATATTTGTAAAATATTTCTCCTCTAACGGAATGGAAATTACTATAGTATGGTTGTTTGACATACAAACAATATCCAATATCAGCATTATCAATTTTCAATCTAGATTGCACAAATAGTTATTTCAACATCTCCAACAATCTATTGCTGTGTAGTTGACTAGGGGAAGCATTACCGAATGCGACTACAGTAGAGATGCTGCAGGTAAAACAGTGTTTTAGGTAAGGTCGTGGATACAAATTTGTTGTAAACTATCCATTTCGAGGAAAAATCTAAAAGCATATTTAGCTTAAAATTAATGTAGTTATAGACTAAGGCATCTTGGAATTTTTTTTTTTTTTTATAAAAAAAATTCGAAACCGATCCCATTCAAAACCAAATGAAAAACACCCTTAGAAGCGCATTTTGAGCTTCTTTCGACATTATGTTTTTATGCCTTTTTTTCGTAAACTTCACCATTTTTGAGATAGATGGAAAAACCAAACAAGTCCTCCGTGTCACGGCGGGTATCATGGCTAAAAGCTTGAAGGACGCAATAAAAGTTGCAGTGGCTCACGATATTGTGCGCTGTTTGATATGAGTCCTCATAATCTTTTATGTCAGCGTTTGTTAGAGTGATGTATCTAATTTTGTGATAGATAATATCGCGAGAACTGTGCACTGAATTTATTATTTTATGAAGCAATCTGTTAAACTCACTGCGCGATCATTGGCTATTGCTTCATAAAATAATAAATTTTTTTTTTTAGAGAAACGGAAATATATATGTACTTACAGTGAGGTCCTGAGAGATTGGGTGATCGATAAATAAAAGATTGAACTCATCATCATCCACAATGACCGACACCGGATGAATTTCATCCTCTTCTGAAACGCAAATTGCCATTGCTATTTACTCGAGTGGTTTGCCCGGATAAAACCTTCATAGACTCTCGCCATAATTGTATACCAGTTATGTCAGTGTTCTACGAACGAATCTCTAGCTATATATATATATTAAACAACTTACTTAATTTGCTTGCAAGCATGCTTACGCCACTTTGATTTCCGCGCCTAGACTACAGATACAGCTGTAGTATCTAGTTTTTGCATAAAAATCAAACTTGATAAATACGCCGTGTGATAAAATTTCAACATAAAAGCAATTACTAAACTTAAGAAAAAGAATCACAAAAGATTATTACTACTCTCAAATATGTTTATTTTTCAATAAACTTAAGTGTTGCCTTTCCTATAGCAGAGGCCTGGCACCCTCGCTGGCGCGTCATAATGTTCTAGTATCCGTCTGTTGTTTTTCTTCGCGAGTGCTAACTTCGATTCGCAGTTCTATGATGATTTTTTCGTCCCTTTCTTTTAACATTTGTCTTGTATGTGACAATAGCTACTGGTCGAAAATGTTAGATGAAATGATGAGTAATCATCGGTCTTTGATGAGCGTTACCGACTGTTAGCTTAAGAGAGTCGTAAACGCATAGCGATTCACTCTAGTTCGACTGTCGAAGGTGGCCTCTCTGAAGAAAATCTATTTTCCCTATATTTAGTGGAATTTTACTTCCGTCCTACGAGTTATTGAAAGGCCAATGCGAAATTGGCAGATGCTCCGATATCGGCCTTGAGAGCTCGTAGCAATGAAAACCTTGAAAAGAGTTCGAAGAGTAGTCCACGCAGGAATCCGAAGGCTAAAAATGGCAACGAAAACACTGAATATATGAAACGAAGAAGGCTGGCTATGAGTGTATACGGCCTGCGGGTCGACCCACTGAACTATCTCAAAGAGGGGAGAAAATAACCAATTGTTAAGGATCTGACTATGTTTTCAAGTTTCAGTGGCCTAACGACCAATGCAGACATAAAATACTTAGTTCATATACAGGAAAAACATCCTTGAAATACTATAGGGAGTTCTATAGAGAAAATGTTTCGTAGGAAAATGGCTGCAGGAAGAGTACTTCGAAAGTTTAAATAAAATACACCGCCACAACGAGCATACAATGAAGATTATTAACTGTAGCAATCACACCTCTTGTCACAGTACTTCGTTGAGATGCAGCTGGATGTCTTTGCACGTAATGCATAGGAATGGCCGTTTATGGTCGTCCTGGGGTACCGGGAAACCTCGAGAGACACTTCATGTGAACGGCGATTTCAGTTCAGTTAGAAGATTGGTCTTTACTTGTCCCACTCGAAGTTAAAACTTACTGACAGAAAGTCTACCTTGACTATACTTTAAGCTAATAATAATAGTGAGAGGCTATTACATAGAAGGGACAGTCAATATTTATTACGTAGTAGTGCTTCCTATTACAGCACCTTTAACGCAGCCGCTTGATATGACGGTTTTTCGGTCTGTATAGCTTGAGGCGTAAATACGGTATGTGGTATTAGTCGATGATATATGGACGAACGCATCAAACGTCTTTTGAATTCGCGCTGGGGTTTGCATTTCAAAAATCTCTACGGGCAAACTCCGGTCGATTCACGAATGATGGAATCAGGCGGTCGGGAAGACCCGCAGTAAATGTGTGAATGCCATTCATGAAAGTCTATTTAAGGTTCTAAAGACGTGGCTGATGAAAGAAGTGCTTTGTGCGATGTGGAAATAAAACAGAGCCGTATGGATACCCGCAAGCACAGTTCAAGCGACTATGGCATTTTTCTATTACTTTAGACTAACTGCCGGGTTGGGCAGTTCCCAGGGAACAATTATCCTCGAGGCGTGAGTTGAAGGCGTAAGCTTCATTGCAGGCTCCTGTGTCTAGTTCAAAAGCCGAGTCGCTTGATGACCCAGCAGTCGCTAGCCTTAAAATGATTAATTAAAAAGTTTACACATCGTAGGCGCTATGTGCTTATAACATAAATAACTGTTATGACATGTGGGGCAAATAATCCTTTTCTCTGTTATATGAAGTGGCTTTTTTCAAGCTGCTGTTGACAAAGATTCACAGGTGCCTATATATATATATATATATATATATATATTGTTAAAGCATGTATCCAGTAATTTTCAGATGGATCAAATCACTTGCCTCCTGGGAAAATTGCTAGAGTGCTAAGGAACTTTGCACCACCTTTCCGATCTTCAAACGTAATAGTCAGCTAAGAGACGACAATTTTTTTCAACCAAACTGTATTCCTAAGTGCGATACAACACCATCAAGCGAATCAGTTTCGTTGCCTTTTTTCATAGTGTTCAACCTTTTGGGTAGAATAGCACCATATCCGTTGAAAACGATATAGTGCTCGTTACTGAAATTGTAGAGAGTCCAAATTTTATAAAACGGGCTGATCTAGGCGATCAGTCTACGAAAGCTTGAAACTGATCTGACGTTTACCGCAGATTAAACACCATGCATGCATAGATCGCTCGTTTGAAAAGGTCAGGCTTTCGAATTCGCTTACAATATAGGCCGAGATTGAGTTATTACTGAGTAGTTTATGCAGTACGGATTAAAAGCGACCGGCAGAACGCATGCTGGGGGTTGATCTTTTATTTTAAGCTAATTAATTAAACCTGTTATTTCCATGTTGGGCGTAACTGCCTCGAACCGAGAGTCGGAATAAATACCAAGCGGTTCGTGTACGCTTGCCTCGCCAAGATTCTGTTTTGCGTCATCCTTTGTACTATAAGCTCCATGACGAATTATCAGTTACTTTATAATTATGATTACTGTTATCCAAACTCTTGCTGTTAAGGTTGAGGTTTTAAGGACGAGAAGCGGTGATTCTATGTCACAAAATATTCTCTGTTAAAATTCTTTCTTTGGAGTAGTATTCCTTGATAGAGGAAGATGATCTATTGCTATGAGGCAAATAGCTTAACTCGCCTCTTTTCCAGGAAGGATTTTTCAGCTAAGAGTATACAGGACACGGTTCACTGAGTTAATTTCGATGATAGCAAAAAACTAAGCGGCTCTTATAGCTAGAAAAAAAGTTTTTGTCCTACAGAATTGATGATTGACTCTTTGTCTATCATATCCCAAGGCGCAAAGCTTTCGTAAAGCCATGAAATAAATCAATTAAAGGGTAAACAAAGATAATTCCCTGAAGGCGTTTTTATGAACCTGTCTTGTTGCTAGTGAAGTGTTGGCTGTGGTTGACGTTTGGGATTAATTCCTTTGTGTATTTTGCCGTGAGTCAGATTAGTTGTACCGTTACTAAACACATTTCCGTTCATGATAACCCTCGCAAGATGGCTGCATATATCAACTAGTATAGCATAGCTTATATACTGACACTTTCCAATATCCGAGGCATAAGCGTAGTCGGAACGTAGGAAATAAGAAAAGACGACGGACCGGGCACTTTTTCCTGGCTTTTTTTTTGTGAATCATCAATGTATGGCTTCAGCTGAGCGGACACATTTAGTTTACGAAGCCGTATAAAGTGATACGAGTTCTGCTTGTTATTGGTGTGTATTGTTAGTCAAGTCGTCTCCAGGCAGGTTTCACTGGGCCAAGTGGAAGTATAGCTAATGTTCAACGTTCACCGAATAAAAACAATTCATTTTACGTATAAGGAGCGTCTAAGGTTTAGCTACAATAGTCGTACGTACAATTTGAATAAAGCGTGCTCAGAGTACTATATTGAGGCACCGATAAGTCGTGCCTATGCTCTTGGAGAGTTATACAGAATGATCGAAAAATCACAATGCGGCTTACAAATAAATTCAAGTACATGACCTAATACAACAACCCAGCAAGTTGCTGATGTCTATCTGGGCCGTGGTCTATATTTCGTTCTTCATCTATCACCTACATAGTAAATATCTATAAAGTGTTTAGACAGTTGTAATTTTAAAATAACAGAAGACACACAAATGATTGATTTAACTCAAGTGGTATAGCATAGATTTGTAAGGCGCCAGCACCATTCCTAAGCGTACTTGATTGTTCCTTAATATTAATCGATAAAATCACTTTAATGATGACAGTCGTCATTGTTGTAACTATCATACTCTATATACATATGATGGTACATAGTACCATAGTCACATAGTAGTACAAGGATACAGTAGACATAACAAGGTGTCTTTATTGAATATATGTTGCACAGCTGAATCTTTCTATTTGTAGCAATTATTTGCGTATCTTCCGCTATTTTACAACGATTTTTTTAAACCACTCAGAGACCTCTGAACTGCCCTGTATATACAGATTTGACTAACCTAGCTAAAAGTATAGCTCTGCCTCATTTCGGTATACGTCATAAGGGTGATAACGTCGGCGAGCGTCACCAACGCTTGAGCTCAGCTCTTAACAGCGACGTCAATTATCGCAAGGCTGTTTCCTGACTAAAACGACCTTTCTAGTCCTATTTACGGCTGTAGCGATGACATTCGCGCGACTTATATGCAGATCCTGTCTATAGCGGAAAGCAAACTACTAGCAAAGATCTTCTAGCTTCTAATCAGTGTAGCAGATCCTACATGTTGTGTGTGTAATAGTTGCCGAATCTACGAAATCATCCTATCATCAGGATTATCGGGACGCTGCGATGATAACAAAAAGTGCTCCCAGAGTGGCTCGTACGAAAGACATAAAAAGTTCCCACGGCATTGCAGGTACTGTAAACTTGCAGTCTCCGCACAATTTTTCCGCAATTTGTAATTCTCAATCAAATGCCATAGTTGGGCAATCTAACGTTAATCTATTCCAACCCGGAGACAGCTGTAAAGGTCAGCGACCTGATACACCATTAATGCGCATATTATCGAAAAGAATTACGTGGTCCGTGCCCTAAGGCTTCGTCGTCCTCGAAAGGGCATTTTGTTTGTAGATTTAGACAGTCGCCGAAATTCGCTTGGCGTTCGGAAGAGATTCATTGTACCAACAAACGCCGACTAAAACTAAACTAGGTCAAGCTTGGGG